GGCCTCACTGTTTGCTTGTTTTTCAACCAACAGTCTGTGACAGTTTCAGTTACGCTCCTGTGTTACAGAAAAGAGCTTTGCTCAAGCACTGCGCTTTGCGTGATGGTTTAGAGCTTTGCCTTATATTAAAGCATCATAAAAAACAGGCAATGTGATATTTACTAATGTCTATATAACATTTTATAAATGAGCCGAGAGTGGCTAAACTTAAAGTAACTACATACATGTACATACTCAACGATAGTCTACTAGAAATGGTTCCACTGGCACTAGGGCTGTATATTGCGGTCAGAAATCTAATTGCAATATTTTGATAAAGTCAGGGTTTATCACAAAGCACAATTTTATTTGAATAGTCTTATTGTTTTTACAACTTTGGTCTTGGACACTTATTGTTTACTGCAAAACCTATGATTTGACTGATTATGTGAATACAAATTTCACTTTAATTGTTTTTACAACCTTGGCCTTGTCTTTACAGACTTATTGTTTACTGCATTGTGACTTGATTTCCTATTGATCAGGCACCAAAACGTAATGCACAGGCATATGTTTGTACATTTAGCTTAACATACCCACATAGAAATAAAAGTGAAACTGTACTGCATAATTCTTAGATTTTACGTGGCTAACATCATGGCCACCTGTGTAGGCTACATAAAAAATGTTGCTTTACAAATTAAAAATGCATTACCGCAAAGAAAAATTGTTTGGTGACTATTTTAATGGTTCATATTTCATTTATTTATACACAAATTTTGACAGTATGTGTTAAAATAAAAAAAATTTGTTTGAGTCTATCTTACTTGCTGCACTCAGCATCAACAAATATACCAATTGTAGTGGAGATCAGATTGATGCTACAATATTGCAGCCAACTACCAGTACAAGACATATTCTTATAGAGCTGGGCGATATCCCTGGTCGTCCCTGAAAACAGATATTGCGATATTTTCAGAAAATATATATTGCAATATTTTATAACGTGTCAATAATTTAAATTTATCACCTTTAAATGTAAATAAACATGCATAAAAAGTTGGAAATACCCCCCAGAGTATTCACTTGACACTTTTTAGCATAAATACAGGACCAAATTTACAAACAAAATTTAATGAGCTGGTTCAAATATAGAGATCTATCCATGAAAATTTGCTCAAGATGTTGGTCTATGTTGTTTATTACAATTTTAATTTCCAATATATTAATTATATTTTATTTAAATTAAGAATATTTACATATGAAGGAGGCACAACAAAGTAAAAAAAAAAAAAACATAAAAAAAACTTGTCTTCTTTCGGCTGTTTTTATAGCTACGGGTATGATTGGATTCTGTTAATTTATCCTTGCAAACTCATGTGTTCTCATTCAAGCATGCCTTCTTGAAAATGCATTTTACAATACAAGAATACGAAATTAAACTATAAAACATGTACTATGTCAAAAAGTGTCCATTCAATTAGTCAAATAGTGATTTTTCGAAACACGGACCTCCATGACACTTTCAATGCTGAATGATAATCAGTCTACCGGTAAGCCTACTCTCAATATATACACAGCAAAAAAAAGTTCAGCACCCCCCTGATTTTTCACAGATTGGTTAACTTCATGAAAGTATAGTATGAAACTAAGAAAAAGAAGATAAGCAAAACAAATTTTAATTAAAAGAACAATCGTTTGGTCATTTGGAAGTGAAGTTTTGTAACGGTATGAGCACTAAAAGTGCATGAAAACACAGAGTGAAATTGAAATGGAATTTCATCAAAAAAACATGGGTGTTTAAGTATTGTCATTTCAAGGTGTTGGTGTGTGCCACCCAGTAAAAGCAGTTTAAATAAAGTTGATCAATGTCCCGTCCCCCAGGAATCACAAAACATCAGTAACGTGTGCTGCCACCACGTGCCTGAATAACTGCAGCTGTTTTTGTGGAGGAGGATTCCTTCTTTGTACCCAACTGCCCATGATGTCCCAAACATGTTCGATTGGGTTCAAATCAGGAGACATTGCTGGCCATGGAATTCATGTGACAGCATTATTTGCCAGATGTTGGTTTACGGCACGTGAACGATGAGGTCATGGATTGTCGTTCACGAACAAGGGCCTTGTGGCAAGTCTGTGGTCATCGAAATGATCAGTAATTACAGGATCCAGAACCTCCTGAATGTAGCGAGCGCCTGTGAGTGAACCTTGTATAGTCACCAAATCCAGTCTACTGTACAGTCATAGGAGAAGCCTCCCCAAACCATTAGGGATCCTCCACAAAATGTTCCTGGGTGAAGACGTGTATTCCTAGTCCTCCATACGCGGGCTCTCCCATCAACAGCATGCAGGAGGAAATGACTTTTGTCGCTCCAGTGTATTCTCCTCCATGATCTTAGGTTCCACCTCTGCCTGGAGCTGTGGACGCCCGATGACCCTTCTGGCTCTTAATCCAACAGCTTTGAGGCAGTTTCTCACAGTCTGGTTGCTCAAGCGGCGATGAGGTAACCAGACCTGTTTCACTTTCAGAAGGGTGCTTGAACCAAAAGGCTGTGGTAGCTTTTGGTCTTCTAGAACGGGGAAGAAATCAATCGACAGTGCTACGTATAAACGCTCTACGCTTAGTAAGGATGAAATTATATCCAATCACAGATCTGTACTCACTTCATTTGGTACTCCATGTGGAGATACCTATACAGATCTGCCCTTGTTATATTGGATACCTGAACTACATAAAAATCCCTACAAGCAACATTTTATAGCCGGTTCATCCCGTTGTTCCACAAAACCACTTTCAAAAGTATTGACATCTATACTAACGGCAGTAAAAGAGGGTATTCAAAAAAACTGTGACAATATATACTCTCGTAGTGGTTTTAATCAAATGTGGATATTAAAAAATTCCAAAGAATTACTTGATGGTTTACAATCTAGATCATTTGCTTCAATCTCATCTATACAAACGTTTGACTTTTCTACTTTGTACACTAAAATTCCCCATAGTAAATTAAAAGCTCGGTTAAAAGACATTATTCACAGTGTCTTTTCATCTAAATCGGGAAATGTTAGATATCAATATTTAGTTGTTAATTACAATTCCACATATTTTGTTAAGAACCATAGTGATTCCAAAAATAAATTCACCGCCAACAAGATGATTCAGATGTTGGATTTTTTAATTGATAATATCTTTGTTGAATTTGGAGAATAATTTATCAGCAAGTGGTAGGTATCCCCATGGGCACCAACTGTGCACCTTTGCTTGCTGATTTGTTTCTCTATTCCTACGAAGCCGATTACCCTCGTAAAATCAAATAAACGATTAGTCAGACATTTTAATTTCACTTATCGATATATCGATGATGTTCTATCACTGAATAATCCAAAATTTAGTGATTATGGAGAATTCATATATAATGATGAGCTCGAAATTAAAAACACTACAGACAGTGACAATTACGCTTCCTACTTGGATCTGCGTCTCGATTTTGACAATTGACATAAACTTAGTGTTAAATTGAACGATACACGTGATGACTTTGACTTCCCGATTGTTAACTTTCCATTTATTAGTAGTAACATTCCAATATCACGAGCTTATGGAGTGTTTGTATCTCAACTAATTTGTTACGCGAGAGCTTGTTCATTTTATTCTGATTTTTTAAGTAGATCGAGGCATTTGTCATCTAAGCTTCAACTACAGGGATACTTGCGAACTAAACTGATTAAAACCTTTAAAAAGTTTTATGGGCGTCATATTGACTTGATTGGTATATATAACATGTCTCTCTCGGCTATTATTCTAGATATATTTAATTGACACGTATACAATCTCCCTGATAATGTCTGTCTACTACATCGTTAACACTGTTCATCACGTGCATTTTGCATACATGCATTTTGCGTAACATTTTTTGCTGTTTATAGTTGGCATTATTTATATTTCTGCTTCATTAAAATTTATTTCAATTAGAAAATCAATGATTCCTTTGGAAAATCAAAGTATCGGTATGAATAAACAATTCGTCAAGATTCATAAAAAATGAACAGAAGCAGGAATAATACATACGGTATCGGTCGGGTGGAGAAGTTTGCAAACTTTGTGTTTATAACAGTATTTATTCATCATTAAGCAATAAAATATCGTAAATAACATAAGAAAAGACATTTTTTCACTATTTATGTTAAATATCCAGAAAAATCAAAACCGTGATATATCGCGCTATATTTGGTTTTTCGATATTTTTTTGTAGACGGGCCCATTTTTGACATCTGCATTGAAATGTTGTTGTATATTCCCATCGGTTTGTCCGTTGCTTGTTGACTCTCTACAGGCTAAAGTTAATATTCGATTGACTTTAGATTTATACAGTGTTTAAGGTCATGAGATGAAGAAGCCTATTAATTTTCAACGATTTCCAATAATTGCTTCCAGAGTTATGGCCCTTGATCACTTTGAAAAATTATGTGGACGAGCTAGATGCTAAAGTTAATGTAAATTTATACACAGTGTTTAAGGTCATGAGACAATCGAAACAAATTCTAATGATTTCTGATAATTAGCCTACATAAAAAAATGTGTTGTTACTCGTAATCGAATTTTATTGTGTTGTAAATGTTTACTGACAAAAGAAAAAACATGTGACAACGCTTGTTGACTGCCCGGATGACTTAGCTGCTGTGAGCATTTGTTTCATTGCCTGGCAACCTATCTTAATTTCTGTGACGGTTTTATATAGAAAAACCGAAATATCGCCCTGCTCTACATTCTTATTGCTTCCATACAAATGGTTCCACATACATTTTAATTATGGAGATTTTACTTCATTAAAAGCAAATTTTGTGTATGTGGCATTTAATGTTTAAGTCCTATTTACACTTTCTGTTAAAATGAATAGCCATACAGAGAGTCACAAAGACTGTTAATAATCATGACCTTATTTACAAGAAAAAAAAAAAACGATGTAGAAGATGTCAATGCCTATACCATATTTACAAATATTTGAATTTTATATTTCCAGTAGAACCAATAACAGTGAACAGGATGAAAATACAACAACAGCTGTGCCTATTACTACTACAGTTAAACCAGACTGTCCTACTAAAGATACAGCTCAACAAGAACATGCTAGCAGTCTCACTATATTCTTTATATTACTTGTAATTGGTAGGTTCCCAGGGTAACATAAAACATAAAGATATGTTGCCAGGCAACCAATAACAGCTGTGTCGTCCAACAGTCAACAAGAGTTGTCGCATATTTTTTTCTATTGTCGTTAATGAAACATCTACATGTATAATACACTAAAATCTGATTAAGAGTAACAACTCATTAAGTAATTATCAGAGAATCATTAGAATTTGTTTGGCTTTTAGTTCTGTCCATGCTAATGTTTTGTACACGAAACATTTAATAAAATGGATTTTGCTGTTTAAGTTATCAAAATTCATTGAAAATCAATATACTTGTTCATCTCAAGACCTTGAACTCTTTGTATCAATCTAAAGTCAATCGGATGATAACTTTGGTCTCTAGACACTGTAACATTGGTACCGTTTACTCTAGCGTAAATAGCGTTAATTTCTACTCTGTGTCCAATTATTCATAAATATTGTTGAATTTCGGCGAATAGTGCTCAATTTGTACTTCTATCGAATTTCAATCTCACTGTTTAATTTTGATTACCAAGCGTCTAATTAACTAGTGTTTAGTTTCTCGACACGTGTTGAATTATAAGCGTCCTGTCTAAATAGCACGACTGTTCAATAATTAGTTGGACCGTTCAATTTCCCGAGCCGTGATTAAAAACAGTCAAAGTGTCCAATTACGCAAGGTGTTAAATTTTGTTGTCAAACATCTAATTTCACGTGCGATGTTCAGATATTACGATGTGTTTAGTTGTTAGTCATCGTTCAGTTTTGCAGCACAATGTTGAAATACTGTAATAAGTGTTAGTTTTAGTACTGACCTGTTGCGATACGGTGAAATATTATTTTTCAGGATTCATACGACGGCAGGTATCTGTAATGCCTGTCATTATCCGTGGATTATTTTTCAAGATCACTACGGTGAAACAGATGTTGGATTTTTAATGGCGACGGGACGGTTCCGAAGCAAAGCTTTCTTGAGATGCACATACCGTTTCGTCCACAATCATAAAACGTGTATTTATATATCCATTTAAAACAGTATTTTCCACACTGACAACACATCCACGAATGATAAATCTCATGCATCTGATTTACGTGTACACGTCGACTCCCTACCCTGATTAAATCCTTTTGTTTAAATGTCTTCGCAATTAAGACTAACAGCATGGGTATTACACCAATCATATATTACATAATATGGGATCTATAGAAAGCACAAAAGGCTTGTAGAATTAATACCCATGTGTCAGAAGCTAACAATATGTCTATTGTGTAAGACAAAACGTGAAAATAAACTAATAATTCGAACTCTTTATTTCTTTTTATTATTATAGAACGACGATCATTTTTCGCTGAAGATCAAATAAAACCTACTAAATACATTTCATGCTTATATGTAACGCATAACTTTGCCAAACTTTATTTCAGAGAAAGCCAATTTAAAAAGGAATTGTATCATATATTTAAGTTTAATTTTTAATAAAGAATGGGGATATCATAAATACAGGCCTCGGTGTAATTTTACATGCAAAATTAATGGTATTTATTTGTCATAAACAATCGATGTGAAAACGATATACTGCCACGATGTTATGAATGTTGAATATTTTCATTAATAATACGGAGGCGTTAGTCAACGTTGTATAGTGAGAACACGCGTGTTCACATATTCTGCACGATATATATGCGGTTATATTTCCAACCAGTCATGTAAAGCTGCATGTCTAGAACGTTTAAAAGGACACGTATGCAAAAGACTATACATGTATTACACAGTTTAGATATTTATGCTGTGTTCAAATTGTTTTGCATATTTACTGTATTAATAAGAGTGTATCGTTAATAATTACTCTTGAATTATGGCAAAGATAGACTTTTAAATTTAAAACTATAAAGGTATTTTGGTTATCGGTCTTACAAATAGAAGTAAGACATAAATAGAACTTGCAACGGGATTCGAAAGCGCTTTCAAGTCAGACGTAAGCTCGTACTTACCGTAAAAATGAACGCAACACAAGTTTCCGATGTAAGAGAATATTAGTTAATTATAACTGCTATCAAATCCACACAAAAATCCAAGGCACTTGTTTTATTTTAGAAAAGAATAACTGTTTTTCGACCAAAGAGTCTATTCCACATGAACCCCAAATCAATGATGAACTGTCAACTTGTTATGTAGTCATTCACGTGACGATTGGTTTGAATAACAGAAATGTCCCGTGTATAAAAGATCAAAGAATAAGCATGAAATGTATTTAGTAGGTTTTATTTGATCTTCAGCGAAAAGAGTCGTCGTTCTATAATAATAAAAAGAAATAAAAAGTTCGAATTATTAGTTTATTTTCACGTTTTGTCTTACACAATAGACATATTGTTAGTTTCTGACACATGTGTATTAATTCTACAAGCCTTCTGTGCTTATTGCCAGAGATAATCGCACTACCCTTCAACCCAAAATGCTTTCTATAGATCCCATATTATGTAATGATTGGTGCAATACCCATGCTGTTAGTCTTAATTGCGAAGACATTTAAACAAAAGGATTTAATCAGGATAGGGAGTCGACGTTCAAGATGCACAGTGTTCAAGGTCATGAGACGAAGAAACCTATTGATTTTCAGCGATTTCAGATAATTACTGCCAGAGTTATGGTCCTTGATGACTTTGAACAATCTTGTGGACGCTTTAGAGGCTAAAGTTAATATCCGATTGACTTCAAATTTATACACAGTGTTTAAGCTCATGAAGCGAAGAAGCTTATTGATTTTCAGCGATTTCCGATTATTACTGCCAGAGTAATGGATCTTGATCACTTAAAAAAATCTTGTGCACGCTCTAGAGGCCAAAGTTAATATCCGATTGACTTTAAATTTATACACAGTGCTTAATGTCAAATGACGAAGAAGCCTATTGATTTTCAGCAATTTACGATTATTACTGCCAGAGTAATGGATCTTGATCACTTCAAAAAACCTTGTGCACGCTCTAGAGACCAAAGTTAATATCCGATTGACTTTATATTTATACACAATGCTTAAGGTCAGAAGACGAAGAAGCCTATTGATTTTCAGCAATTTACGATAATTACTGCCAGATCACTTCAAAAAATCTTGTGGATGGTCTTGAGGCTAAATTTAATATCTGATTGACTTTAAATATATACACAGTGTTTGAGTTCATGAGACGAAAAATCCTATTGATTTTCAAAGAATTCTGATAATTACTGCCAAAGTTATGACCCTTGATCACTTTGAAAAATCTTGTGATGCTCAAGAGGCTAAAGTTTTCATCTGATTGACTTCAGATTGATACACAGAGTTTAAGATCTTGATACGAACAAGTAAATTTTTATGACTTGAACACCTAAATCCATAATATTAAAAGTTTTGTACACTAAGCGTTAGCATGGGGCAGAACTTTATAAAAACCAAACAAATTCTAATGGTTTTCTGATAATTACTTCATAAGTTGTTACTCTTAATGAGATTTTAGTGTATTATAATTATAAATGTTTCATTACCGAAAAAAGTAAAAATATGCGACAACTCTTGTTGACTGCCCGGACGATTTAGCTGCTGTGGACGTATGTTTCGTTGCCTGGCAACCTATCTTTTAGCTTTTTCTGAGTCCATCTCTTGCAAAATTTGGACTTATCTTGCATGGCAAAGGCTTGTTTGTACAGCACTAAAAATGGGTTTGTTACTATTACTAATAGTGATAGTAATAATCATTTACTATACAGACGTGATTAGATCTATAAAACTGAAATATTTGCTATGAGATTCCTGGAGGAACCATGTTTAAGCATGGTGATGATTTTATGATGATGACAATATATTGAATTGAAATATTTTATATTAAAGCTAACATGTCTTGATTTTTCGGTAAACCTTTTCACTTTGATTTATGTTTGTATTTCAGTAGGTTTATGTTTTCCTTGTTTCAGCTATATGTATACTGTGTGTTCATTTGTTGATACAAACAAAATTCCATTATGTCCCTGAAAGTGTTGCTATGGTTTTGATTGGTAAGTTGTTATCCTCCATATCACCAAGAAATCAACTAAAATGAATGTGATGTCAATATTTAAATTAAATAAAGTGTGAAATACTGCAAGTTGAATTTGATCTAATCCTAGTGTAGTTTTTAATATGATTTTCATTTTTTTATTAATACTCAGGCATTTCTTTTTACAGATATATAAAGTGATATTGTCTTTCAGTCTCGATTTAATAATATACATAATATACTAAGATGTGGTATATTTGTGTTTATTTCAGGTGCTTTCATTGGTCTGTTTCTATCACTGTTTGAATTTGGTAACTGGAAGGTAATAATATTATTTACGATAATATGTTTTTTTATACGCCCACATGGAAATGTGGACGTATATTGCCATGCCCCTGTCCGTCCGTCTGTCAGTCCGTCAATCGTCCACGATTTCTTGTGAACGCTCTAACACCAACAGTTATCATCCAGTTGTTCTAAAATTGATATATGTTGTTTACATTAGTGAGATGAAGAAGCCTATTTAATTTTAATAATTTCTGTTTATTATGTCTAGAGTTATGGCCCTTGTTTCACTTTGTTGAACCTTGTGAATGCTTTAATGCCAAAAGTTAACATCCGATCTTTGTGAAATTCACCTAAAATATATAGATTAGGGAAACGAACACTATACGACTGGTACCGTGGAATCTCGGGTAAATAGCGTTATTATCTAATCTATGTAGAATTATTCATAAATATCATTGAATTTGGCCTAATAGCATTCAATTTTTTACTTGTATACAACTTAAATCTCAACGTGCAATTTTGATTACCAAGCGTTAATTGACTAGTGTTTAGTTTGTCGACACGTGTGTAATTATAAGTGTCCCGCTTAATTTTGACGACTGTTCAATAATTAGTTGGACCGTTCAATTTCCCGAGTTGTGATTAAAATTAGTCAAGGTGTCCAATTACGCCAGGTATTCAATTCTGTTGCCGAACATCCAATTTCACATGCGGTGTTCAGATTTTAACGAAATAATATGTTTATATTGAAGGAGTTGTAATATAGTAATGCTGCCGTGAAAACGTGTACATGTATAATGTACAGGCCGGTTTGAATAACAACAAAATGAGTTCGGTAATCTCGGGAAAACATTTACCGGCATTCTGTATTGGTTAGGATTTTTTTCTAACGCACTGTACATGCATATAATATAACGTCTGCCAAAATGTATGCAACAATGAACAACTTACAACTTTTATTTACAACGTATCATTATATCTTCGTCTATAACTTAGATGTAATCCATCAATTAATGGCTGCTATAAAATCCAAACTTTAAATTATATACATCATACGATGAGCTTGCAGCTTCAGTTAATCTAAATCAATCGTTCATAGAGCACTCGATCCACTCCACGGGGCGCTTAACGGTAAGTCACATGGTCAGAAACGCGCCAATATTGGGACTATTTTCTTAGTCTGTCTGTGTTAATCGGCGACAAATCTCCGCTGTGACAATATACATCTACTTTAAATGTCGCCCAATTCATTTCGGTGGAAGCGGATATTGAATAAAGCCATTTTACACACGTGTACATTACATGCGCATGTCATATATTTATACAATGTCCACGATGTGTTACTTAATTGTCGCCTTCACTCCGTTATTTTGAGTAGCCTACACTTTCTGAATGATTCCATTCTCTTGTACGAATGCATGACCACTTGGACCAACTAATAGACCACTCGGACGAAACAAAAAAGACTACTCGGACCATACAAAAGGACCACTCGGACCAATAATAAAGTGTTGTTTTAATACATTTATATTTGTGTTTGTATTAATGTGACTACTCGGATCAATAATAAAGTGTTGTTTTAATTGTTGTTTTAATAATTGATAAAAGTGTTTGTTTTAATATGCATATGTTTTCTTTGAAATAATAAAGTGTTATGTACTTACCCGTCGTATTGTTTCACCATGAAGCACATCAAAGAAAAACAATTAAATTGTTGATGTAATAAAGATATATATTTGCTAATATGTACTTACCGGCAGCGGATATTCTAAAGTTATGTATATACTCACCTATAAATTGTTCGCCTCTTTGTATTATGATACAATATGTTGTTAATGATTAAAATCATTAATAACATATTGTCTGTATTATATTTTTAAAATGAATAAGTCAAGCCTTATAATGTAATTTGATTGGTCCGTGTGGTCCTTTGGGTTGGTCCGAATAGCAAGGATAAATATGGGTCCGATATTATGCAATATAGATGCAGGTTTATTTTTTTTTTCTCCTTTTTTCTAACAATATTTATTCAATATTTACATATTATAAAGATACAATGTTCAATTATGGGATCTCATAACAAGCCGTACAGTTATATAATTATAATCACGATTTACATACAAAAGCAAATGCAGGTTCAATCAAGAAACTTGCATGTTCACCGTCTAGTATAACTTTCGAGCTTCTGATATCTAGATTTTAAACGTAAACATATACATGTATGTATAAACTTATAGATTGCAGTTACACAGGGTACATGTATATGCAGTAGGAATTCGGGAAGTTGGACGTACAAAAGAATGGAATCATTCAGAAATTGTACTCAAAATAGGAAAATTATAACGGAGTGAAGGCGAGAATTACATGTAGGCCAACACACTCGGGGACATTGTATAAATATATGACATGCGCATGTAATGTACACGTGTGTGAAATGGCTTTATTCAATATCCGCTTCCACCGAAATGAATTGGGCGACATTTAATGTACACGTGTGTAAAATGGCTTTATTCAATATCCGCTTCCACCGAAATGAATTGGGCGACATTTAAAGTAGATGTATATTGTCATAGCGGAGATTTGTCGCCGATTAACACAGGCAGACTAAGAAAATAGTCCCAATATTGGCGCGTTTCTGACCATGTGACTTACCGTTAAGCGCCCCGTGGAGTGGATCGAGTGCTCTATGAATGATTTTAGATTAACTGAAGCTGCAAGCTCATCGTATGACGTATATAATTTAAAGTTTGGATTTTATAGCAGCCAATAATTGATGGATTACATCTAAGTTATAAACGAAGATGTAATGATACGTTGTAAAAAAATTGTAAGTTGTTCATTGTTGCATACATTTTGGCCGACGTTATATGCATGTACAGTGCGTTAGAAAATTATCCTAACCGATACAGAATGCCGGTAAATGTTTTCCCGAGATTACCGAACTCATTTTGTTGTTATTCAAACCGGCCTGTACATTATACATGTACACGTTTTCACGGCAGCATTACTATATTAAAACTCCTTCAATATAAACATTTCGTTAAAATCTGAACAACGCATGTGAAATTGGATGTTCGGCAACAGAATTGAATACCTGGTGTAATTGGACACCTTGACTAATTTTAATCACAACTCGGGAAATTGAACGGTCCAACTAATTATTGAACAGTCGTCAAAATTAAGCGGGACGCTTATAATTACACACGTGTCGACAAACTAAACACTAGTCAATTAACGCTTGGTAATCAAAATTGCACGTTGAGATTTAAGTTGTATACAAGGACAAATTGAATGCTATTAGGCCAAATTCAATGATATTTATGAATAATTCTACATAGATTAGATAATAACGCTATTTACCCGAGATTCCACGGTACCAGTCGAATAGTGGAAGAAGCCTGTTGAATTTCAGCAATTTCTGTATATTACTTCTAGAGTTATGGTCCTTGTTTCACTTTGTTTAATCTTGTGAATGCTCTAACGCCAAAAGTTATCATCCGATCTTTCTGAAATTTATATGCATTATTTAAATTAGTAAAAGGAAGAAGCCTATTGAATTTCAGCAATTTCCATTTATAACGCCTAGAGTTATCGCCCTTGTTTCACTTTATTGAACCTTGTGAACACTCTAACGCCAAAAGTTATCACCCATTCTTTGTGAAATTTATATGTATGGTTTAAATTAGAGAAACCAAGAAGCCTCTTTAATTTCAATAATTTCTGTTCATTACGTCTAGAGTTATGGCCCTTGTTTCACTTTATTGAACCTTGTGAACGCTCTCACATCAAAAGTTATAGGCCGATCTGTATGAAATTTACATGCGTCATTTAAATTAGTAAAGAGAAGAATCCTATTGAATTTCTGTTTATTACTTCTAGAGTTATAGCCCTTGTTTCACTTTGTTGCACTTTGTGAACGCTCTAACATCTAAAGTTATCTGCCAATCTGTAGGAAATTTATTAGATCTAGAATTATGGCTCGTTTCACTTTATTGAACCTTGTTAACACTCTAACATCAAAAGTTATCATCCGATCTTTTTGAAATTTAGATGCATTATTTAAATTAGTGAAACCAGGAAGCCTATTGAATTTCAGCAATTTACAATAATTACTTCTAGAGTCATGGCCCTCATTTCACTTTGTTCAACCTTGTTAATGCTTGATTGATGAAAGTTATCATCCGATATGTATGAAATTTATATGCATCATTTAAATTTGTGAAACAGAGGTCTATTGACTTTTAGTAATTTCCATCAATAATTTTTAGAGTTATGGTGGTTGTGAACCTTGTGAACGTTTGAATGACAAAAGTGATCATCTGATCTGTATGAAATTTATATGCATTATTTAAATTAGTAAAACGAAAAAGCCTGTCAAATTTCAACAATTCCTGTAGATTACTTCCAGAGTTGAGTGCCGTATTTTACGGGGTATACATGTAATTCGATGTGGAGTAAAAGTCAAATCGTCATATTTTACTGTTTTTCCGACCTCCATCCATATATAAGTCGAAGCGGTATAAAAGACGAATGTTTTTCAACTCCACGCTAGCAATCTATTATCGAGATTCGTGACTGTTATCCTAGTCTATTGTCTAATAAATACTGTGCGGGTGTATACCAAGAAAAATTGACCGATAATATTATATAGGCCCACGATAAAATAATCAGATTATAAATGTAGGATTAACTTGATTAATATTCAAAGTTGTGGTCTTTGTTTATTTCAACCAGTTTATACTTCAGTATATCCGATAAATATAATTCAATGCAGGCTCTATTTCTATTAGTCTAATGACACATATTTATAAAGTACGTTACTAAAAAAAGAATAAAACAACCCAGTATAGTGTGATTGGTCAATTTAACTGAAAAATAAAAGTAGAAATCTTGCAAAACGCATGAAATTACGAGAAACAGAAAAGTGCCATTTTTGACGATTGTCTGAGAAAAGATGTTATTTTGATGACATATTCTCGGGTTGATGATAATATATTGAAGGAGAGAGGAGGATGTTTTTGAATAAAGAAATAAACAAGGAAAGAAACCTCTACAAATATTTCGATTGGAATGGTGTAACTTAAAGTAGTTTTGTTTTAGACGATAGTGTTTGTGGCATCGTGGAGAGACGGTAAATGAATTTTTACACTCCCACATTTTCATGTGGACGTCCGTCCACAATTGTTTGTGAACAGTCTACAGGTCACAATTTTTATCCGATTTCAATGAAACTTGAAATATTGGTTTATTACCCTTAGATCTCGGTTCCTTTCGATATTTACATGTATCGGACTGTCACTTCATGGATTATGGCCCCTGATTGTACGAAAAATCACGTTTTAAGCTTGTGAACACTGTAGAGGTCACAATTTTTATCCGATTTAGTTTAAACTTGAAATGTATGATTATAACCCAAAGATCTCGGTTCCTTTCGATATTCGCGCATATCGGAACTTAACTTCATAAATTATGGCCCCTGAATGTACGAAAAATCATGTTTTTAGCTTGTGGACCCTATAGAGGTCATAATTTTTATCCGATTTAAAAAACAGTATTATTATATCACCGTTAAACCCTAAGGACGGCTGAGTTCGAATTTCGTGAAAATCGACCCAAAACTGTCAGACAAAATGGGCGCCGTTCGTTCTCAAATAGCGTAAAAATATGGTATATTAAGGTTGTGGACCCTATAGAGGTCACAATTTTTATCCAATTTTGTTTAAACTTGAAATGTAAGTTTATAACCAAAGATCTTGGTTCCTTTCGATATTGGGGCATATCGGACCGTAACTTCCTGAATTATGGCCCCTGATTGTCAAAAAAAAATCGCGTTTTTAGCTTGTGGATCCTATAGAGGTCAAAATTTTTATCCGATTTAAAAAAACGTATTATTATATCACTGTTACACCCTAAGGAAAGCTGAGTTCGAATCTCGTGAAAATCGGCTCAAAACTGACAGACAAAATGGCCGCCCTTCATTCTTAAATAGCGTAAAAATATTAGGCCGGGAGCCCAGGGGGTCAACCTAGCTGAAAAGTGTACCAATTTTCTCCTATATGGTATCAATGTATGTATATCTGGTATCATCAGAATGTAAGTCTGTCGGGTTTCTAATGGTGGGTGTGGTATTCCACGCCCTAAATGCCATGCACCCCAACTAGGCTAGATTAGCTCAAAAGTGTACCACACGAAAATCTTACTGCATTGTACCGTACATCTTCAGGTATTACAAAAACACTCTGACAGACATTTCTAGTGGTGGGGTACCCCTGACAGAGCTATGTAATTGCCAGACATTTGTATAGTGGTAGAGTATCCCTGACAAGAGTTATCTAATAATTAGACCAAAGCTAGGCTAGATTAGCTGAAATCTGTACCACCTAAAACAGCTTTGGAGTTGTTCAGTACCACCACAGATCTTGGTTCCTTTTGATATTCGCGCATATCGGAACTTAACTTCTTGAATTATGGCCCCTGATTGTACGAAAAATCACATTTTAGCTTGTGGACCCAATAGAGGTCTTAATTTTTATCCGATTTAAAAAAACGTATTATTATATCACTGTTACACCCTAAGGACGACTGAGTTCAAATTTCCTGAAAATCGGCCCAAAACTGACAGACAAAATGGCCGCCCTTCGTTCTCAAATAGCGTAAAAATATGGTATTTCAAGGTTGTGGACCCTAAATAGGTCACAATTTTTTATCCAATTTTGTTGAAACTTGAAATGTAAGTTTATAACCCAAAGATCTCGGTTCCTTTCGATATTTTGCATATCGGACCGTAACTTCATGAATTATGGCCCCTTATTGTATGAAAAATCACGTTCTTTTTAGCTTGTTCTCTATCCATCTCTCGAAAATGTGGGCGTATCCTGCCTAGCAGCCGCTGTTTTTCTTTTACCTTCATATCACGTTTTTAGCGTGTAGTCCCTATATGTCCTTTCGTTATTTTTTTGTGGACACTCTACAGGTCACAATTTTTATCAGATTTCAACGAAACTTGAAATATAAGTTTATCTCCCTAAGATCTCGGTTCCTGAATTATGACCCCTGATTGTACGAAAAATCCCGTATTTTAGCTTGTGGACCCTATTGAGCTCACAATTTTATTCCGATTTAAAAAACCTTTTGGATATATCATCGTTACACCTTAATGTCGGTTGATTTGGAATTTCGTGAAAATCGAATGAAAACTGCTGGACAAAATGGCCGCCCCTCGTACGCAAACAGTGTAAAAATATGGTATATCAAGGTTGTGGACTCTCTAGAGCTCACAATTTTGATCCGATTTTGACGAAACTTGAAATACATGTTTATAACCCTAAGGTCTTGGTTCCTTTCGATATTTGCGCATATCGGATCGCTAGTTCCTGAATTATGTCCTTTGACTGTACGAAAAATCCATTTTTAGCTTGTGGTCCCTTTTAGAGGTCACAATCATTATTCGATTTAAAACGTTAAACCGTAATGATGGTTGAGTTCGAATTTCGTGTAAACATGTGGTATATCAAGGTTGTAGACCATCTAGAGGTCACAATTTTTATAAACCAATTTTGATAAAACTTAAAATATATGTTTATATCCCAAAGATCTTGGTTCCTTTTGATATTCGCCCATATCTCACTGTAACTTCGTAGATTATGGCCCCTGATTGTACGAAAAATCACGTTTTTAGCTTGTGTGCGATATAGAGGTCACAATTTTTATCCAGTTTTAAAAAACGTTTAAATATATCACCGCTACACCATAATGATGGTTGAGTTTGAATTTCGTAAAAATCGGAATGAAACTGCCAGAGAAAATGGCCACTCCTTGTACGCAAATAGTATAAAAGTATGTAATACCAAGATTGTGGACCCTCTAGAGGTCACAATTTTTATTCGATTTTGATGAAACTTGAAATATATGTTTATATCCCAAAGATCCCAGTTCCTGTAGATATTCACGCAAATCAGACCGTAACTTCCTAGATTATGACTCCTGATTGTACGAAAAATCGCTTCTTATTTTTTAGCTTGTTCTCTGTCCATCTCTTGCAAAATGTGGGCTTTTTTGCATGGCAACCGCTTGTTAATTTTTATATTTCATATTTCAGAATGAAGAAGCTTTCCCACCTACGATATTTTTTATTGTACTACTTCCACCAATTATATTTGAATCTGGTTATAATTTACACAAGGTAAAACAATCAGTATATACACATGTTTACTTATATTTTTATTGCATAGTATATTGATTTAGAATAACTAGCAGAAATGGACATTTTATGTTCATTTGTTCTTAAATTGTCTGTTTCACAAGAACAAGCAATAATGGTATCATATGTTTTTTTTTGGAATTATAAACTAAGAAGTTTCCAGTTACTATAAATTTTAAAAACAGTGGATGATAAATCTACTGCTCTGGCAAGATTCCTACTTATTGATTCAATAATAATGCCAAAATAATTAAAATATAATATTAAAAAGAGGTAGTTAAATCCTTCCATTATTTGAAGAGCGGGTGAAATTGTACTTACCTGCGTTTTCAATATTTACATCTACTGACCACATTATGTAACATCATTATATCTTATTTTCCTTACAGGGTAACTTTTTCCAGAATATAGGGTCTATATTAGTGTTTGCTGTATTTGGAACGGTATTGTCTGCTTTAACTATTGCTGGTGGTATATATCTGTTAGGGCAGGTAATTATCTATACAATTGGTGCAGTGGTGTTCAGAGGTTTGATGATGCTCCTACGGTTAGGACTTTTTGTTATTCGAATAGCCGTAACCGTTTAACTGTATGGTATCAATTTTAAACATAAAACAGAGCTTGTCATGGAGGTGCGAGTCATTACTCGTGCACACGCTATACTCGCCTAAAAGGCATTACACGCGCAAAAATTTCAGGAATTTTTTCATAGACATGTACAATTCTTTAATGAAAATTTAAACCATCTAAGGCCGTTGTTATTTGTTTACCTGGTTAACTTGGTTCATTTGAAACATTTTTTAATTCAATATATATCTACGATAATATACAAAACAATACTCTGTTTCCCTGCGTACGCGACAGATGGCAATAATATACGATTACACAATGTTACTAAGAATAGAATAAAGTAAATTGGAAGGCTTCTATTGATTGGACAATAAAGAAATAATTCCTCGCTTCCAAGTAGAATTTTTATGATTGGTTAATTTAACTAAAAACCAAAATAGAATTCTTGTGAGAAATTACAAGATATGAAACGTGTTGAATGTCGTAACGAATCTAGTATTAATGTCATTTTCTAGCCTTTATGATTATATTTTGAATGGTCGTTACGTTTTTAAGTAAATAATAAACAAGGTAGAATACAGTTAGAAATGCCGAGAAGTATTTAGATTGGATTAACGATAGCTAAAGTATGACTATGACGAGTGCTATTAATAGTATTATTTTTTAGCAGTCGACATTGTAGGACGACTGTTACATTCTAAGATTTTCAAACATCAAATACAAAATGACAACGGGCAAGTTTTGTTATAAGAGAGGAATATAATCAGACACTCGATACAGTTCATTTTCGATAGATACGTATTGATGATACGGCAAACCGATACGCGATACGTATCGCGATATGATGACATCACGAATTATGCCCAAAATAATCTCAAACTACATTCTGTTTCAAGATGTTTGAGATGGGTAAGCATCAGGGTTCTTAATTCATTTTGAAACAAACTGGCCAGAATTGGGTCAATTGAGGCCCCGTAGGGTACGGGTTAATTATAAGCTCCATTCCCTTTAATATAACTAGACTTCAACAAAAATAGTTCTTGGTAATTTGTTGTGGAAAATGTCGTATTTTAATGTATGTGATTACCACAAAAATAACGACAGGTACACCTTTTGAAAATTGTCCATATTTAAAGCGATAATTTCATATTTTCTAAGAAAGTCAAAACATAATTATTTTTATGTCTTTTGCTCAATAGGTTGTCAACTCACTATTATACGATCATAGGTATTATTCTCCCTCTTAAAAATTCTTTGACCCGGAAATAATAACACAATTACCACCCTTGTTTTTCTATTCCCCCCCATGGAATAGCTATCTTCAACGTTTGAATTTGAAGTTGAAAATGATATTTTTGCCAATTTCTCAACTGGCAATAGTGAATTATAGAATTATTCTTTAACAAGGTAGGACTGTTTATAGATACCATCTATTTTAAGGCTTTATTTTAATAACTGGCAATAGTGAATTATAGAATTATTCTTTAACAAGGTAGGACTGTTTATAGATACCATCTATTTTAAGGCTTTATTTTAATAAATTTTAAAAATATAACTTAAAAATGTGAAATTGCAACTTTAATTCACTTACCATCTTGAAGTTACCGTCCGTAATATTCCAGAATAAATTAATTACTGTCGTCGTTTATTCGATGAAACGTTTGCGTGGAAGATGCTCGATTGGCAAACCATGCCGAGATCGTCTTCTTTGGCCATGTGGGTTTTGTGGTCTTTGTTAACTGAAAAATTTTTTCAACAATACCGTCATACGTCTATATTACGTATTGATATGAATTTCGCTGGAACATATCGATACATATCGGTGTATCGATATATCGACACAGTCCAATTGAGCACTAGTCCCTAATACTCCATGTATTTGGGTCGCATATTCAGGAATGTTGGAAAGGAAGATATTTAAAATATGTCAAAACAGATGAAATAAATAAATTAAGTAGAGCAGCCTGTACAACAAAGTTAACAGCAATAATTTGAAATTTCACAAAACTTAATTTCTCTGAAATAAATGTCCCTGGGGCCATCAACCCGCCCTCCCCTATCGGCACAACTGTGAATTGGTAATTGAATGTGAATGGTGAGTGAAGTGGTCACCCACCTTTTGCTAACTTAACTTGATTTGCGTCAATGAGTTTTATCACTGTCGTTAGATTTAATTTAATATATTGTATCTGTTTTCAGGCTGGAGTAGCTTATAAATTAAATCTGATAGAAAGTTTTGCATTTGGTTCATTAATATCCGCTGTAGATCCAGTAGCAACTCTGGCTATATTTCATGCATTAGATGTAGATCCTATATTATATATGTTGGTATTTGGTGAAAGTGTATTAAATGATGCTGTATCTATTGTTTTAACAACGTAAGTTAACTAGTTTATATTAAACCAACGTCTGGGCCCCGAGTTCAGCTTATTTTAACTAAAATATAGCTCTTTATAAAACTTTTGTTGTTTTAATGTCTCAAATACATCAATGAAAAAGTATGTGCAAAGTTTTCTGTTTCTGGATCAAAGATATTTCTCATAAACAGTGATTGAAAGTTGATTAAATTCTTAACTTAGGTCTAAGAATGCTTTGTGATAACGGTTCACTCCCATTTCGACCGGCGGGATGATTTACCCAATACTACCCAATACCACCTGAATACCACTCCAATATCACCACATACTACCCAATACTACAACATAATGGTGTAAAATGAGCATATTACTTGATTTTTTTCAAAAATAGTGAGGTATATCGTGGGAAATGTACTTCAAATGTGATTACCAATGTCTGGCTGATTCATTTGCCTCCCTATATCACCCAAATCAAGCAAATGATAACCCAATACTACCAAATACTTATCAAATACTACCCAATATTATAAAATACAAACCTAATATCGTCAATTAGCAGCACATCAGCATAATAATTGCAACGAATATTAGATAATTTGCAGAAAATTGAAATATTTATGCAGTTATCTCCCTTTACAACCGATAAATAGATCAATCATCTTGTTGGGCTTTGCAGTTTGTTTCCAAGATGACGAAGTGAAAATAAGGAAAACGATTTGTTATATATGCCCCCGCTATAGTTTACTCATCCAATATTACACGTTGAAAGCTTATAAATATAGAACATAACATAAAATAAAAAGAGTTTTAAAAGAAATTAACAAAGATTTAAAAATGCATTAAAGTAAAATCAGTTTATGAAATAAACATCCAAATGAAAGAGTATTTTAGAGGTTGATTTAAAATTGTTCATTTAACGGTCTCTTGGCCTACTCAAAAGTCTTCTTATACTGTATTTCTTCACGCGGTCCTGTAAAAAGTCATTTCGGTATAATATGTCAGGAAAGCACACAAATTTGTCTTTATATCTGTCTTTTAATGACTTATTAACACATTTCCTTTGTCTTTTAAATGATTCTGGTTCCAAACAAAGCGCCTTTGAAAAATCTCCTCTTGTCAAAATTTCACCAATTCTTCGAATATTGTCACTATTGAACAAATTCTAATTTTTCTGCAAAATATTGAATATACGTTGCAGTAATTATACTAATGTCCTGTTATTTGAAATATTAGGTTGCTATTTGATCATATTGGGTAGTATTTGATGAGTATTTGGTAGTATTGGGTTATTATTGGCTTATTTTGGATGGTATAGGGAGGCAAATGGAACAGCCAGACCGGTATCGCTTTTTAATTGCATTTCACGCGTTATAGCTCTCTATTTTTGAAAAAACCATATTGATATCTGTATTTTGCATCATTATGCTGTAGTATTGGGTAGTATGTGGTGATATTGAGGTGGTATTGGGTAGTATTGGGTAGTATTGGGTAAATCGTCCCACCCCTTTTGGACATCATGCCTTTTTGACTACAAATTTGATTACCCTCAAAATCCTGACCCCAAACTAATCAGCATTGAACCGTTCCACTGATTAAGAGATGTAATTAATCTAATGATTATTATAAAAATATCCTTATTCATTATATATCAACTCAGAGTACATTTTTATTTGACAAATATTTGTAATATTTGGAGATTACATTGAGTTTAATACTTGCTTATCTGTATAAGATGAATTGATTCAAATTCATTCAGTCAAAATTTTTATTATCTTATTAGAATTCCTTTATAACTAATATTGTGTTTATTTTCAAATTCGGGAATTTGGAAGTAGAAATATTTGTTTATTTATTAATATTCTTTTATGTGTATATGGCGGAAATTTGTGAAGTAGAATTCGTAGTTTCTCAGAGGGGTAAGCCCCAAGTCTTGCTTGGTGGATATGTGTATAGAATAAATAATGAGCGCGGTGAATATATTCATTGAAAGTGTGTAAAAGCAACCTGCAGTGGAGAATGTACCACAATGGATATATACGTTTGAAATGTTTCAAATCACAATCACCACCCAGAAAATGAAAACCAAATCAAATTTAAAAGTAGCCTCAGAAAAAGTTCTCGAGAAGAAACGAAACCTGTGCAATTAATTTACTCCAAAGAACTTGCTCAAATACCCCAAAAATTTGCGCCTAACTTACCTTCTTTAGGACTTGCAATACAAGAAGTTAGGAGCCTAGCAGGTTTAGCATTATTACCATATTTTATGCATATTTTATACATTTTTTATACAATTTCTATATAAATTAATTTTTCATTCTTTTTATACGCCCACATTTTCATGTGGATGTATATTGTCGTCACCCCTGTCCGTCCGTCCACAATTCTTTGTGGGCTCTCTACAGGTCACAATTCTTATCCGATTTTGATTAAACTTGAAATATAGGGTTATCCCAAAAAGATCTCGGCTGCTTTCGATATTGGCATGTATCAGATCGAAACTTCATGGATTATGCAATTATGTACCCTGATTGTACGAAAAATCGCGTTTTTAGCTTGTGGACCCTATAGAGGTCATAATTTTATCCAATTTAAAAAAACACGTTTGAATATATCACCGTTACACCTAAGGGTGGTTGAGTTCGAATTTTGTAATAATCGAACCAAAATTGACAGACAAAATGGCCGCCCCTCGTACTCAAATGGCGTAAAAATATGATATATCAAGGTTGTGGTCCCTCTAGAGGTGACAATTTTCTTCTGATTTTGATGAAACTTGAAATGTAAGTTTATAACCCAAAGATCTTGCTTCCTTGTGATATTTGCGCATATCGGATCGTAACTTCCTGAATTATGGCCCCTGATTGTACGAAAAATCGCGCTTTGTTTAGCTTGTTCTCTATCCATCTCTTGCAAAATGTGGGCGTATCCTGCCTGGCAGCCGCTGGTTTCTGTTTGTCTTGATATCATATGTTATACGCAGTAGCCTAAATGGAATGTTTTAGCTATAGAGAGGGTATATAAGTAGGGATTATAAAACCACCAAACCATATAATCTGTCGTAATAAGTTGTAGTCGAAATGGGACGTAGGCGAAATATGAGGGTACCATTTTAACTGGGGTTGACATTTTTATACAAAAAGATTTTAAACAATATGTTATTGATTCTTTTACAAATAATATCAGGCATTGAGTCTTTATTTGGATGTCTTTTGAATACTTTTGAATATTAGAAAATACATTGTTTTATACGCCCACATTGAAATGTGGTCGTATATTGTTGTTCCCCCCGGGGGGTTGGATGGCCCAATGGTTAGCACGGGCGTGCTGTATCATAAAGCCTGTCATTGAGTCAACTGGCGTGGTTTCGAATCCCCGGTTGTACGTGACAAGGAGTAGGGTCGCCTGTCCAACCTCGTGGGTTTTCTCCGGGTCCTCCGGTTTCCTCCCACTGCTAAAGACCCCTAAGCGCAACGAATTATTGAAATAAAAATTAAACCTTATGTTAGTCCCAAAATGACCTAGTTTGTGTCGAGTGGACGTTAAATCCCATTTCTCTCTCTCTCTCTGTTGTCCCCCCCCACCCCGTCCTGCCGTCCGTCTGGCTGGCGTCCATAATTGCTTGTGAACGCTCTAGAGGCTAAAGTTAATATCTGATTGACTTTAAATTTATACACAGTGTTTAAGGTCATGAGACAAAAAAGCCTATTGATTTTCAGCGATTTCCGATAATTACTGCCAGAGTTATGGCCCTTGGACACTTTGAAAAATCTTGTGGGCGCTCTAGAGGCTAAAGTTAATATCCGATTGACTTGAAATTTATACACAGTGTTTAAGGTCATGAGACGACATTGATTTTCAATGATATCCGATAATAACTGCCAGAGTTATGGCCCTTGATCACTTTGAAATATCTTGTGGATGCCCTGGAGACCAAAGTTATCATCCGATTGACTATAGATTGATATTAATGATAAACAGAGTTTAAGATGTTGAGATGAACAAGTATATTGATTTTCAATGAATTTTGATAACTTGGACAGCTAAATTCATGATATTAAATGTTTCGTATACTAAACGTTAGCATGGGGCAAAACTAAAAGCCACACAAATTCTAATGATTTTCTGATAATTACTTAATGAGTTGTTGTGAAAACTCTTGTTGACTGCTCGGATGACTTAGCTGCTGTGGGCGTATGTTTCATTGCCTGACAACCTATCTTTTATTTTTGTAGGACTGTGCTAGAATTTCAAGATCCAGCCTATGTGGTGGCAAAGAGTGGTGCAGCTATATTTTTCCATGCTGTTGGTCGATTTTGTTTAATGTTTTTTGGATCAGCTGCTATTGGTGTATCATTAGGTCTTGTCAGTGCATTAGTATCCTTTTATAGAGTAGTTATTTGCAAAATACTTAATATCTTATTAAAGGATTATATTAAAGGAGATGGTTAATCTGTTATAACAAAGGTGTCACGCTGGCTAAGTGGGTAAAACTCTGGCTCGCTAGCCTGGAGGTCGGGTGTTCGATCCCTGCATTGGCTGAGAACGTTCATCCAGATTTGCCGGCGTGGTTCCGCCTTGTCAGTGATGCTGGACGGAGGACCTGACAAGGACAGCTGTCTAGTCGTTCGGATGGTACGAAAAACTAAGGTCCTGTGTACACATTGGTGTGCACATAAAGATCCATTGACAGTTGGAATTCTATATAAGAGTAGGCCGTGGTGCCGCTGTCAATGGCAAAATTCCCCTCATAGCACACTGTATGGCGTATGCCAGTCTTCATTAGCCCAGTTCGGAGCAGAACAGTATGACGTTAAACTGCATTTCATTTCATTTCATTTCACTGTTATAATAATAAATTCCCCTGGTGGCTTTAATGGCTTTCCAAACACTTTAAGGGTAGGACTTGATTAGGGGCTGCTCCTAGATCCAAACAAATATTTAAAGATACATTATGTGAGATTTTTATAAGGAGTTAGCCATTCTTGCTATAACAGCTAGACATAAGTTGTTGAATATGTCTAGCCTCGTTCTTTCTGGTCAATTGTTGCAAGTGACGCTGAAACGCACTATGGTACACGATTCGTGTACCAATGGTAAAATGTTTATTTTGTCTTAAATATTGGATAGCAGAAGCCTACCTTTTCCCGGTAAGATTACAACATCAATGTTGATTTGAATTGACAAATAATTCGTGTTTTCAATGTGTAGGATTTTGGATGATATTGAGTTAGAGACTTAGCTACTTTAACTGATTGAAAAGAGTCGCATTTTTGAGAAGTTATAATAATAATAATAATAATAATATCTTTATTTAAGAAGGGTAAAGGATTAGGCTGTGGGAGCATTTCTACCATCCTGCCCTTCATGAGAAATATAATACAATAGATGATAGCATAACAAATAAAAGAGAGGGATGAATAGGAGTATAAAATAATCAGAATGAAATTATAATACAAAAGATGACAGCACCAAAGGAGACAGATATAATAACACATACCCCCCCCCCCAACCCCCCCCCCCCCAAAAAAAAACACATCCCTACTCCAAGTGAGTATAAATGATATAAAGATACTATTTGATTATTTATGTAACTTAAAGTAGCTAAGTCTCTAACTCAATATCATCCAAAATCTTCGACATTGAAAACACAAATTATTTGTCAATAAATCAACATTGATGTTGTCATCTTACTGGGAAAAGATAACTTTCTGATATCCAATATTTAAGACGAAATAAACATTTTACAATTGGTACACAAATCCTGTACCATAATGCGTTTCAGCGCTATTTGTAATAAGGAAATCGAAAAAACGAGGCTAGGCATATTCCACAAGTCATGTCAAACGGTGACGCTATATTCTTATCTGGAGAGCATGCCCGATAAATACTATCGGCGTAGACTGGAAAAACCAGACGCTAGAGATTGAAATTCGATTGAGAATACTGGCGTATTTCGCCGAACCTAACTGATTAGAAATTACAGTAAAACAGAAACGATTGAATGTAAATCAATTTATATACATTCATATTACATTATTATATGCGTTGCGACCCATTTGTGTCAATTTCTAGGTCCCAAATATTAGCGATTTAGCTCCTTTAACTTATATTTTAAGACATTGAAACATCTAGAATTACATAAAACACCATCATTAGAGTTTGGTTTGATGTTTATATTCTCCTACTTACCTTATGGTTTAGCTGAAGGAATACATTTATCTGGTAAGATTCTTATACCTTATGAATATGGTCTGTAAAGATTTTGAGCGTTTCCTCGGTAATAGACTTATGCCCCCTGACTATTGATACTGGGGGTAAAGATGGTTCTTATTGGGTTATTTTCGCTTGTTCTCAAAAGTACACCCAGTGTTATGGCACCTAACTGATATGGTTGTTTATGAATGTCCATTACTGTGTTGTATGTACTTGAAAGATTTTCAGGAATAATTAGTATTCAGGTAAGGATGGCCCCTCTCTTTATGTAATTTAGATTAATTTATTGAATTTAAATTATGTAATTTAAACATGCATTATTGACTTACATTAATTAACTTACTAAGGCCATAATCAACTCTTGATGCCATCGGATGCCTGCGGTATTTAGTAGATTTAAATACTTTTTGTGGTGGATGTAGTTACTGTAAAAATGAAAATCGAAACTAGCCTATAATTGTATCACTAATATCTAGGCTCAGAGGAGTAAAATAATTTGACTGAAGTTGTCAGCATATTTTTTTTTCGTTATCTATTTTTATACACCCACATTTTCATGTGGACGTTTTATGCCGTCTCCCCTGTTTGTCCGTCCGTCCACATTTTGTTTGTGGACACTCTACAGGTCATAATTTTTATCGGATTTTGACAAAACTTGAAATTTAGATCTATCTCCCAAAGATCTCGCTTCCTTTCTATATTGGCATGTATCGGAGCATAACTTCATGGATTATGGCCCTGACTGTTCGAAAAATCACGTTTTTAGCTTGTGGACACTCTAGAGGTCACAATTTTCATCTGATTTTGATGAAACTTGATTGTACGAAAATTCGCGTCTTTAGCTTGTGGTCCCTCTAGATGTCACAATTTAAAAAAACGTTGGAATATATCACCGTTGCACAGTAATGATGGTTGAGTTCAAATTTCGTGAAAATCAGACCAAAACTGCCAGACAAAATGGCTGCCCCTCCTACCCAAATAGTCTAAAGATATGGTATATCGATCAAGGTTGTGTACCCTCTAGAGGTCATAATTTTGATCCAATTTTGATGAAACATGAAATACATGTTTATAAACCAAAGATCTGGGTTCCTTTCAAAATTTGCGCATATCGGATCATAAATTCCTGAATTATGGCCCTAGATTGTACAAAAAATCACGTTTTTAGCTTGTGGTCCCTCTAGAGGTCACAATTTTTATCTGATTGAAAAATATTTTGTGAAGATCAGACCAAAAGTGCCGGACAAAATTGCTGTCTTTCGTACGCAAATCGTGTAAATATATGGTATATCATGGTTGTGGACCTTCTAGAAGGCACAATTTTGATCCGATTTTGATGAAACTTGATGAAGATCTTGGCTCCTGTTGATATTGGAGCATATCGGATCGTAACTTCCTGAATTATGGCCCTTGATTGCAAGAAAAATCGCTTTTAGTTTTAATTTGTTCTCTATCCATCTCTTGCAAAATGTGGGCGTATCCTGCCTGGCAGCAGCTGGTTTAACTATTATAGCGAGAACTTCAATTCTTTATCTAATCTTACATAGTGCCGCTTTAAATGAATTTGTAACATGGATGGAAATCTTCCTTTGTTCTTTTCGTTGAATAAGCAGATTTTTTTCCCTCTAGTAGATTGGGTGGAGCTTAACCGTGCAATAACTAGACATGTTCAATGTTATTGCACACTTTTGCTGGTTTACACTAGTTTTAGTAGAAATCATATAGAGAAGTGGGGTGGGTTTTCTGTGCAATAACAATAAGCATGTTGAGTAGTTGTCAATGTTACAAGTCATTTATAGCACGCTTCATTCGTTAACAGGTCTAACCCCTCGGCCTTCAGCCTCTGGTTAAACCTGTTAACTCATGAAAGCTGTGCTATACATATAACTTATTTAATTTAAATCATGCAATTTAAATGAATTTACTGAATTTAAATTATTGTTGAAGATATCAGGCAGTTCCAAAACAATACCTGTGAACAGGAACTTATTCAGGAACATTTACCCTCTAGGAACCACTGATCGATAAAGTTACATGTACCAACTTAAAATTTGAAAAACTTTTGATACAAGATCATATTCATATCTAGTAGCTTCACCTCAGTATAACCTTCCTACATACTTAAAACAGTGTCTATCTTATCATCCCTATTATCACCAAAGAATATCTGTTTCGACTTTCAACGCAATGTTTAAAGTTCAATTGTAAATATTGATGGAATCACACAGAACTGAACTGTTTTTATGCGTTGTGAGTATACAAACAGTGTGGAATATGGTTGATAAGCCTGCGCTGTTCTGCTAGGATAGTGCATGATATAAATAACATGATTCTGCAAGGGGATAAAAATAACATTGCCCAACATTCTGTTATTAGAAAAATGTCCAAAGTTGATGTGGTAATATATTTTGTGTGTTTTGTAGGTATTATGGCTATACTGTTTGCAGGAATTACCATGTCTCATTATACACATAATAATCTATCACCTATAACACAAATAACTATACAACAAACATTCCGTACAGTGGCTTTTATAGCAGGTAAACAGTTTTATACATTTCATCATATTGAGAAAATATTAACTTTATTTTTTAAAAAATCTTGCTTCATTTAACCTTTATGATTATGTTTAATATTATCATTTCTAAATACTTGTTTTTATTTTTAGAAACGTCTGTGTTTGCATATCAAGGATTAGCCATATTTAGTTTTAATTTAGATGTGAGACCAGCCTTTACTGTTTGGAGCTTAGTAAGTATTATGCATTTATTTGACATTTAAAGTAGCTAATTATCTAACTCAATATCATCCAAAATCTTCAACATTGAAAAAACAAATTATTTGTCAATTTAAATCAACATTGATGCTGTGATCTTACAGGAAAAAGATTGGCTTCTGATAACCAATATTTAAGATAAAATAAACATTTTGCCATTGGTACACGATTCGTGTACCATATTGCGTTTCAGCCCCAGTTCTAGCAAGAGACTCGAGGAACGAGGCTAGACATATTGCACCAAACCAAACGGCGTATCTAGACTGGAATAACCAGGCGCTAGAAATTTGCATTCGATTGAGACTGCGAGCTTATTTCGCGGAACATAACTGATTTGAAATTAGTAAAAACGGACACAATTGAATGTTTATCAGTTTATATACATTCATATTACAGTATTAGATGAGTTGCGACCCACTTGTGTCTATTTCTAGGTCCCAAATGTTAGCGATTTAGCTCCTTTAACTACATGCATATGTTTAATGTTTTTTTTCTTGTATAAAAATTGATAACAAATTCTTCTGTCTGTCCAATTTGCTAACTTTTGCTGGGTTTGGAAAACATGGTAATTTATTTAATCTATTTTCAGGCGTTAATATTAATTGGTCGAGCAATAAATATATTTCCATTATCTTATGTCGTCAATTTTTTCCGTGAACATAAGATAACTCGTAAGATGCAGTTTATTATGTGGTTTAGTGGTAAGTTATGTTAATATAAAAGTCTTGTATGTGTAAAACATGAAGAAATTAATGTGACATGAAATGAATGTAAACTGACAGAAGTTGAGGTAATGGATGAATGGTATCAAAATGGAATAAAAAAGGGCATATGCCATGCAGTGTGCTATTAGCGAAATTTTGCCAAAACAGTGGTGTTTCAGCTGACTTTGTCTCATTCCAAATGAGAAGGGTTCTTTCAGTGTATGCCAGCATGCATCACTGACAAAGGAACCACACTGGAAAATCCTGAAGAACTTTCTCGGCCAACACCTAGATTGATTCTGGAATCTCCTGATTAATGTGCAATCGCACCCCTACTCACTGAGCCACTGTAACATAATTGCATTAATTTCTTGTTTTAAAGTATTACAGATTGATCATTTTATTGTGTTGGGTACATAGTTGAAAATGTTCCTTGGACCAAACTTCTTGCTTTTAAGATGGAAATATTAATACATATCAAGATTCTTAATATTCGGTTTATAATTTGTTCTCACCACATCCTTTCATATCTTATTATCATGACAAGAATTGTTTAACACATGAAAGTGTAACTAGAAGTGTGATGCAGTAATGACGGGCTTAACCGGTGCCACGTTACCCTTGAACTTATGTCACTTCTCCAGTACCAATGGAACAGTTAAATAGGTTTCCACACAAGCATTGCACACATGAAATAAAATGGACGTAGAATCAACCAAATCCAGCAATCAGTTCATTTTATACATTTGTTACATGTAAGTGATCCTGACAAAATTACATTACTTCCGGTGATAATGACATTGTTAAAGTAGTTTTATGAAATCAGAAAGGGCATCATCACATGGTGAAAATTTTATGTAAATTGAATAATAATTGCCACTTTTATAGACCTAAAACCTTGAAATGTGACTTGTAGAAAATCGTCTATTTCTCTGCAACCATACAAGTTAGAAACCATTTTGTGGTATCTGTATGATCGTATGGGTTCATTCTATTTGTTGATTGGCATCAAATATCATAATTTTAAAAACATTACAAATCAGACTCATTTGAATAAAATATCTGTTTTGAAGGCTAAAAATACAGTTTTTGCCAAAATGACATTACTTCCGGTGACACTGAAAATGTTTAATTAGTTCTGTGAAATCATAAATGGCATAAGACATCATATGGTGAAAATTTTATGAAAATCGAATAATAACTGACACTTTTATAGACCAAAAACCTTGAAAAGTGACTTGTGGAAAATCATCTATTTCTCTGCAACCGTACAAGTTAGAAACCATTTTGTAGTATTTGTATGATCGTATGGGTTCATTCTATTTGTTGATGGGAACCAAATATCATAATTTTAAAAAATATTACAAATAATACTCATTTGTATAAAATATGTAATTTTAAGACTAAAAATACAGTTTTTGCTGAAATGACGTCATTTCCGGTGACAGTGAAAATGTTAGATTGGTTTGACCTAGTCAAGATTGGCATTAGGCATCAAATGGTAAAAAAAAAAAAATCGAAGAATAATAATCGTATGGATTATTGCTACAAGTTTATGAAAGTTACAAAGAAATATTTTAAAATATGAAGATGCTGAATGGGTTGTAAATAGCTTAATTTTACACCTTTTTTCACCTTTTAATTGAAATTGCCCGAAAATGAAATCAAAATTAAAAAATCTGAGCTCAAGTATCTGTGCGCCCTTACAGGGCGCACCCTTTTAGTTATATCAGATTTTGAAAAAATAATATTTGCTTTTAAAAAGTGGTACCGGACTGTCAAAATTGTAGTTTTTGGTAAAATTACGTCACTTCCTGTACCGACAGATTACTCTATCAGTAACAAAAAAAATGACAATTGAGACCACATAGCATATGAACTTTTTTTAAGACAAATCGAACAATAAATAACTAATCTAGGATCGAAAAACTAAATTAGCCAATGGCAACTAACATAAATTACTGGGCCCAAATGTTTTCACATTTTTGCTCAAGTAGAATGACTCTTTAATCCTGTGTAAAATACCATCAAAAAATATTCATAAATAAAAAAATTTTTGTTAAAAATTAATATTTTCTAAATTTGGCGCCTTATATCTATGAAGATTTGCAGAAAATCAAAAGTAGCACAGCTGTGTGCCCTGTCTCGAGCTATGCCAAAATGTATTGAAAGTTAAAATCCAATGATTATTGTTAAAATTAAGGCAATATTTTTAAAAACGACAACTTCGGTGATTTCGGACATTTTGCATTGTCGCAGAACGTTCAAAATAGCTTTATCCTCTAAGTCACACCCACTTTCCCAGTAAAACCGAAGACCCTGTAATGTAACAAGTAGTTGCTGAGATATAAGCAAACTAAAAAAAGAAAAATAATAATAACTAGACCTGCAAGCAGCACTGAACCGGCTTTCAGGAATCACGGAGGAACCGTTCCATACAATAGCCCATTTCTCAAGCTACCAAACGATACTTTAGTTGTTTTGATCCGGTGACACCCGACGGTGAAATCACAATTTTCGCAAGAGCACCTATTTTTTTCAAAATAATAGAATATTTTTTCGACTACTTCCAGTTTACAGATCATTGTCCGGATAGTTTTTACAAGTGGTATGGGAACTTAACTTCCTGTACCAGAAGTTTCAGAAACATCCATTGAGCAGTATTAAAAACAAAATTAGAAGAGCATTTCCAGTAATTTATCGATTTTTCGACTTATTTTTAAAAATTGGGGCTCTTTTTGGACCCTTTATATCATGTTGAGGCTTTTAAATTTGGATTCACACCTTAGACCACCGATAGGACTAAGTAACAAAAGTTGAAGAAAACAAATAAGAGTAGTTTTCGAGATAATAGGCTCCAAAAAGGAAAATACTAGATTTTCAGCGTTCCATAATCTATTGCCATAAGCATCGAAAATGTATCATTTGGATGTCATAAGATCGTCCATTATTCAGGTTATCCAATGACACTTTAGTTGTTTTGACTTGGTGGAATCTGGCGTAGTAATCACTTTTTTCGCAAGATGACCATTTTTTTTACTTTTTTTTTTCAAAATACTGTTTATATTTTTGACTACTTCCAGTTTTTGGATCATTGTCGGGATAGTTTTAATAAGTCATATGGATACTTAACTTTCTGTACCAGAAGTTTCAGAAACATCCATTGAGCTGTTTTCAAAAAAAATAAAAATAGAAGAGCATTTTCAGTAATTTAACAATTTTTCAACTTTTTTCAAAGATTCTTTTTGCAAAGATTGAGGTCTTATTTGGACCACTTATATTATTTCAATGCTTTCATTTTTGGACTCACACCCTAGACCACCGATAGGACTCTGAGTGAAAAAAGTTTTAAGAAAAATTGTAGGTGTCTTTTTCGAGAAAAAGGCGTCTCAAAAGGCTCCAAAACAGAAAATACTAGATTTTCGCCGTACAATAATTTATTTCCTAACCATCGAAATCGTATCATTTAGATGTCATATGATAGTCCATTAAAGGGACTATCCAACGACACTTTAGTTCCGCTAATATCTGACGGATAAATCAAGTTTTTCGCAAGAGCGCCAATTTTTTAACCTTTTTTTTTCATTTGTTGAATACTTCCGGTATGGAGATCAATGTTGGGATAGTTTGATTAACTGGTTTGGGTACTTGAATGGTCGCAGGGCTCTATAATGATATATTACATTATCTGATCAGATGAAATCACCATGAGGAATCCCATGTTCAAATGTGCCATAAATGCAAAAATGTCAAAATATCAAAAATTAAATTTCAATAACGCAATACATAGTACACATCGTTAGAATCTTCATTAGATCAGATATCTAAATATAAAAACCTTTTATTGAAAATCTATAAAAAAATAATGGAGGATTTTCGAAAATTTAATAATTTTTTGCCTTTTTATGATTTTCAGTCATTAGATCAGATATCTAAATATAAAAACCTTTTTTTGAAAATCTATAAGAATAAAAAAATAATGCAGGATTTTGCAAAATTTAATAATTTTTTGCCTTTTTATGATTTTCAGTCCCTTTTTTCTCCTATTCCAGTTATTTCAAAGTCTTATCGGATGTCTTCTTGCAGAATACTACCAAAGAGACTCTCGATAGAGAAAGTTTAGAAAAATCGCTGTGCCATATTTTGCTGTTTGGTCATAGTATCCGTATGAATTGGGTATCACATGGCAGCGCAATCCTCGGGCCACTCAACAATACCTTAATTGGTTTAATCCGTTGATAACGGAAGGAGAAATTGCGTTTTTCCAAAAAGCAGCCATTTTTTTACTTTTTTCTAAATATCTGACATTATTTCGACTACTACCGGTTTACGATCGTTGTTGGAATTGCTTTATCGATCGGTTTGACCACATGGCTTTATTTTGCAGGAGTTTCAGAAACATTGATTGATTCTTTCCCAAAAAATATAAGGGTTAACAAATGGGAAGAAAATTAAAAAAAAAATCGAAAAATAAAAGGTGATGACTCTGAATTAAACTTATATGGCTGGAATCGGCTGGACATCAGGTTTCCAAAAATGTAGGTCAGATTTGAATATTTTGAAAAATAACGAAATTATTTCTTAAACAACATTTTTTCATTTTTTGAACGCTAGAATTCATGACGAAATTTCGAAATTTTCAACTGCTATGGTCCCAGAAAAGACCCAGGGTTTCCGTAAATGTCATTTGTTTGAAAATAGGTAAAGAAATGACGAAACAACTGCCGTTTTTTTTAACTTTTTGGCACCATACCATTTCTGGCCAATTCCGTTCTGCGGAGAAGTTTCAAAAATAGTTTATGGAGTTACCACCACATGGTTTCCCGATAGAAAATTAGATCCCAGATCGGTATCTCTTACAGGGACTGAAAAATAAGGGTCTGCGGTAAATAATAATAATAATAATAATTTTAGTAATCACAATAGGCTTTCAGATGAAAGTCTGAAAGCCTAACTAGAGCAGTTCTCGAACATGTTTGATAGTTTTTATACAACCCAATCATACACTTATACATTAATTTCAACATCTAGTGGATTAGATGGCCGAATGGTTAGCATGTGCACGCTGTATCATAAGGTCTGTCATTGAGTCAACCAGGTGGTTTCGATTCCTCGGTTGTACGTGACAAGGAGTAGGGTCATCTGTCCAACATCGGGGTTTTCTCCGGGTACTCCGGTTTCCTCCCACTGCTAAAGACCCCTACGCGCAAGCAAATTATTGAAATAAAATTGAACCAAGTGGCCGTTAAACCCTCTCTCTCTCTCTCATTAGTGACAATTAGGAACGCACAAGGAATCCTCTTGGTCAATACCGGTAGCGAACTTCCTGGTTAGGGAAGCAGTGCCTAACCCACTGAGCCACCGTGGGTTTTTTGAAAAATAAAAGTAAGATTAGATTTTCAAACGCGTCGAAACCCACTTTGGAAAGGACTCTAGCGTTCTAAATGACGCCTATATATCTTCAAAGTATGAGACAATCGTTTTGCTTATACTTTAAAACATCAGGACATGTTAGCTGTAGCTTTACTGGTATTCAAAGAAGACGTCATGTAGACAAAATATTAATGAAAAATGTAAGCTTATATAATAATAATAATAACATCGTCATTGATAAAGCGAATTAATATCGGAAAAGGGTTTCTAATGCGCTGTGGGTTGTTATATTCACACTTACCCTAAGCAGAAAATGCTCATCTTTGAACTCCATTAAGGCATTGACCTAAAAAAAGACCAAGTTTGAACATTCTAGCTCAATTACAAGGATGGTTATTGTGTTCCAAAGTTTCAGTAAATCAAATTGCTTATCGCTCTGCTTACCCTAAGCAAAAAAGGCTCATTATCGAAATTAGTCAAGGTATTGATGTAATGAAACTATAGGCTACACCAAGTTTCATCACTCTCACTTAATTAGAACTAAAGTTATTGTGTCCGAAACCATCAACCAATCATTTTAATAGTCCCATGCTTTCTTCGAAAGGCGGGGACAATAAACAAATGCAATCATATTAATTTCCTCATACACAACAATACCACTGGTATTAATGAAAAATGTATATAATAATAATAACATCGGCATTGATAAAGTGAGTTAATATCGGAAAACAGTTTCTAATGTGCTGTTGGTTGTTATATTCACAGAATACATGTATTTACACACAGATCAGAGCTTGTGCCCATATACACTGTACAAAATTAAAAAATATATACCAGTAAATATAAGTACTGTACATATAAAAAAGTAAAATAAAGACATAGCAAGCATAAAGTGTCAAAATATAATATGAAAATTTATTGACACGTACAGTACATTTAAGGGAGAGAGAGAAATGGGGTTTAACGTCCACTCGACACTAACTGGGTTATTTCTGGACGAACACATTGGTCAATTTTATTTCAATAATTTGATGTAATGAGACTATACACCAAGTTTCATCACTCTCACTTACTTAAATCTAAAGTTATTGTGGCCCAAAGCATCAACCAATCAAATTGCTTATCTCTGCTTTATCCTCTCAGTCACACCCACTTTGTCAGTAAAACCGAAGAAAAATGGAATTTGAATAATAGTAATAATAATAACTAGACCTACAAGCAGCACTGAACAGGCTTTCAGGAATCAGACAGGAAGTGTGTCATACAATAGCCCATTCATTGAGCTACCAAACGATACTTTAGTTGTTTTGATTCAGTGACACCTATTTTTTACTTTGTTTTTTTTAAATATCGAATATGTTTTCGACTACTTCCGGTTTACGGATCATCGTCGGGATAGATTTAACAAGGGGTATGGGAACTTAACTTCGTGTACCAGAAGTTTCAGAAAGATCCATTGGACAGTTTATAAAAGAAAGGAAAATTAGAAAATATTTAACGATATTTAGCAAATAATTTGTAGTCTGATACCATTGTGTTTAGTACTAGTTAGCTCCCTTATACTGTTAGAAACATCTCCAGAAATATAACGATTTTTCGACTTTTTTCAAAGATTGTGGCCCTTTTTGGACCATTTATACAATATTGAGGCTTTTAAATTTTGATTAATACCATAGACCGCCTTAAGAACTCTAAGTAACAGAAGATTAAGAAATGAAATAAGATTAATTTTCGAGATAAAAGTGTCTGAATAAGCTCCAAAATGGAAAATACTAGATTTTCAGCGTCCCATAATATATTGCCTAACCAGCAAATTTTTACCATTTGGATGTCATAAGATCGTCCATTATTCGGGCTATCCATTGAGATATTAGTTGTTTTGATTCTCTGAATTCTGGCGTAGTAATCACGTTTTTCGCAAGATCACCATTTTTTTTACATTTTACATTTGTTTTTCAAAATATCGGATGATCTTGACTCCTTCCAGGTTTTAGATCATTGTCGGGATAGTTTTAACAAGTTGTGTGGATACTTATCTTTCTGTACCAGAAAAACATTTTTAGTAATTACTTGAGGCTCTTTTTGGACCACTTATATTATTTCAGTGCTTCTATTTTGGGATCCACGCCATTGACCACCGATAGGACTCTAAGTAAAAAAGGTTTAAGAAAAATTGTAGGTGTCGTTTTCGAGAAAAAGGTGTCTCAAAGGCTCCAAAACAGAAAATACTAGTTTTTTGGCGTACCATAATTTATTTTCTAACCATCAAAATCGTATCATTCAAATGTCATATGATAGTCCATTAATGGGACTACCCAACGACACTTTAGTTCTTTTGGTCCGCTAACATCTGATGGAGAAGTCAAGTTTTTCGCAAGAGCACCAATTTTTTTAAACCTTTTTCTTCATTTATTGAATACTACAGTATGGAGATTATTGTCGGGATAGTTTTGATAACCGGTTTTGGCAATTATATAGCCGCAGGGCTCTGTAATGATATTTTAAATTATTTGATCAGATAAAATGCCCCTGAGAAATCCTATGTTCAAAAGTGCCAAAAATGCAAAAATGTCAAACTGTCGAAAATTAAATTTCAATATTTCAATACATATTATACATCGTTAGAATCGTAATTAGGTCAGCTATCTGAATGTGTGGCCTTTTTGTAAAAATCAGTTTAAATAATAAAGTAATAGAGCATTTTCCCAAATTTCACGATTTTTTGACTTTTTTCAATTTTCAGTCCTTTTTTTTATCCTATTCCAGACATTTCAAAGTCTTATTGGATGACTTCATGCACAAGACTATCGAATGGACTCTTGATAGAGAAAGTTTAAGAAAAATCGCTTGAGCAGTTTTCGAGATAAAGGCGTCCAAACGCGCTCCAAATCAGAAAATACTTCATTTTTAGAGTGACATATTTTGCTGCCTGGTCACTCAACGCTACCTTAATTGGTTTAATCCGGTGATATTGGACGGAGAAATTGCGTTTTTTCCAAAAGTATCCATTTTTTGTGTTGTTTTCAACATATCGGACATTATTTCAACTTCTTCCGGTCTACGGATCATTATTGCAATTGCTTTATTCCTTGCTATGGCTATGGTCATATGACTTCATGCTCCAGAAATGTCAGAAACATCGATTTGGTCGTAAAAAGAAAAAAGTAGGATATAAAATGGGCAAAAAATTTGAAAAAAAAAAGTGCGATAACTCTAAATGGAACTTATATTACTGGAATCGGATAGACATCAGGTATCCAAAAATGTAGGTAAAATTTGAAAATTAACAAAAATTGTCTCGTAAACAACATGTTTGCAATTTTCGAACGATATAAGTCAACGACAAAGTTTTGAAATTTCGAAATATTCAACTGCTATTGTTCCGGAAAAGACTCTGGTTTTCCGGTAATGTCATTTGTTTGAAAATAGGAAAATAATTGACAAAACTATGGCCAGTTTCTGATTTTTGGGCACCGTACCAAATTCGACCACTTCCAGTCTGCGCAAAAGTTTCAAAAGTAGTCGATCAAGTAGCCACCACATGGTTTTCCAATAGAAAATTAGGTCCCAGATCGCTATCTGTTACAGACACTGAGAAATAGGCTCCAGGGCGGAAAAATAATAATAATAATAATAATTTTAGTAATCTCAATTTCGTCTGAAAGCCTTATAAGAATAATAATCTTAACAAAAACAATAGTGTTTCACACAAGCTACGCAGTGTGAGACCGTAATAATAATCTGAACAAAAACAATAGTGTTTTACACAAGCTACGCTGTGTGAAACCCTAAAAAAAGAAGATCCTTCATTACTGTCAATATCTCAAAATCACATTTTGTTCCTAGATATGGTGAATCTTTTAAAAAGAGAAAAACAAGAAAAATATTTTTTAACTGCTGAATATCTGCTTCACAAATATTGAATTATGTTTATTTTTGTATAGGTTTACGAGGAGCTATTGCCTTTGCTTTAAGTTTACATCTCGATTTTAAAGATGGTGAAATAAAGTCGGTATTAGTAACAACGACGTTAATTATAGTTCTATTTACATTACTATTCCTGGGTGGTGCCACTATGCCAATGATGAAGGTAAATAGACTAATATTTAGTGAAAATAACAAGTTTTTCTGTGTGAAAGAATTTTAAAAATGTTTAACCTAGCCAACTATCTAAAGCTCTGTTATCATTATTATATGTTGCTGTGGCAGACTTGTTGCATGTAGACATTCACTCATTTGGCTTATACTCTTTATTTGAATTGCGTTGTCATTTGATTTTGTAGTTATTAAATGCAGAGAAAAAACAAAAGAAGAAATCCAAGAGACTGATATCTTTGAGTAAAACTAAAGAAATGGTAACTATAATTACTGACCCATTGATAACTTGTATCACACAAATAACATTGTGTATTGTCTGTAAACGACCAATGTTTGGAAGTAACCAACAGGGATATTATAAATTTATTTAGAGAGTTTTGTGGAAAAGACAAAACAAGGAGAGGGATATTTTGTATTGCTGTCTATCCATCTGGCTTTCCCAGAATTTTTTTGTTTGTTGCTTATTTAAGAACCACTTTCTACAAATATCAGTATATTATAGTTGTTGTACAATATGTACTTTCTTGAAATTAGAAATTCTTGATTTAATCATTTTGGTGTTTCCGTGGAAACTAATTTGGCTTAGTTTTTTAGTTTCTGGTGTACACTTATTATTCTGAAGCATATCTTAGAAACTTTCCAAGATGCCTTTATGCAGCAGGATGTTGATAGCTAGTGATCTTGGTTTTTATACGCCCACATTTTCATGTGGACGTATATTGTCGTCGCCCCTGACCGTCCGGACGTCCGTCCGTCCACAATTGTTTGTGGACACTCTACAGGTCACAATTCTTATCCGATTTTGACGAAACTTGAAATATAGGTTTATCTCCAAAAGATCTCGGCTGCTTTCGATATTGGCATGTATCGGATCGAAAATTCATGGATTATGGCCCCTGTTTGTACGAAAAATCCTGTTTTTAGCTTGTGGACCCTATAGAGGTCACAATTTTTATACGCCCACATTTTCATGTGGACGTATTATGCCGTCGCCCCTGTCCGTCCGTCCACAATTTGTTTGTGGACACTCTACAGGTCACAATTCTTATCCAATTTTGAGGAAACTTGAAATATAGGTTTATCTCCAAAAGATCTCGGCTGCTTTCGATATTGGCATGTATCGGATCGAAACTTCATGGATTATGGCCCCTGTTTGTACGAAAAATCACGTTTTTAGCTTGTGGACCCTATAGAGGTCACAATTTTTATCCGATTTTGTTGAAACTTGAAATGTAAGTTTATAACCCAAAGATCTCGGTTCCTTTCGATATTCGCGCATATCGGACCGTAACTTCCTGAATTATGGCCCCTGATTGTACGAAAAATCGCGTTTTTAGCTTGTGGACCCTATAGAGGTCATAATTTTTATCCGATTTAAAAAAACGTATTATTATATCACCGTTACACCCTAAGGACGACTGAGTCGAATTTCGTGAAAATCGGCCCAAAATTGACAGATAAAATGGCCGCCGTTCGTTCTCAAATAGATTAAGAATATGGTATATCAAGGTTGTGGACCCTATAGAGGTCACAATTTTTATCCGATTTTGTTGAAACTTGAAATGTAAGTTTATAACCCAAAGATCTTGGTTCCTTTCGATATTCGCGCATATCGGACCGTAACTTCCTGAATTATGGGCCCTGATTGTACGAAAAATCGCATTTTTTAGCTTGTGGACCCTATAGAGGTCATAATTTTTATCCGATTTAAAAAAACATATTATTATATCACCGTTACACCCTAAGGACGACTGAGTTCGAATTTCGTGAAAATCGGCCCAAAATTGACAGACAAAATGGCCGCCGTTCGTTCTCAAATAGCGTAAGAATATGGTATATCAAGGTTGTGGACCCTATATAGGTCACAATTTTTATCCGATTTTGTTGAAACTTGAAATGTAAGTTTATAACCCAAAGATCTTGGTTCCTTACGATATTCACGCATATCGGACCGTAACTTCCTGAATTATGGCCCCTGATTGTATGAAAAATCAAGTTTTTAGCTTGTGGACCCTATAGAGGTCATAATTTTTATCCGATTTAAAAAAACGTATTATTATATCACCGTTACACCCTAAGGACGGCTGAGTTTGAATTTCGTGAAAAGCAGCCCAAAATTGACAGACAAAATGGCTGCCGTTCGTTCTCAAATAGCATAAAAATATGGTATATCAAGGTTGTGGACCCTATATAGGTCACAATTTTTATCCGATTTTGTTGAAACTTGAAATGTAAGTTTATAACCCAAAGATCTCGGTTCCTTTCGATATTCGCGCATATCGGACCGTAACTTCCTGAATTATGGCCCCTGATTGTACGAAAAATCGCGTTTTTAGCTTGTGGGCCCTATAGAAGTCATAATTTTTATCTGATTTAAAAAAACGTATTATTATATCACCGTTACACCCTAAGGACGACTGAGTTCGAATTTTGTGAAAATCGGCCCAAAATTGACAGACAAAATGGCCGCCGTTCGTTCTCAACTAGCGTAAAAATATGGTATATCAAGGTTGTGGACTCTATAGAGGTCACAATTTTTATCCGATTTTGTTGAAACTTAAAATGTAAGTTTATAACCCAAAGATCTCAGTTCCTTTCGATATTCGCGCATATCAGACCGCAACTTCCTGAATTATGGCCCCTGATTGTACGAAAAATCGCGTTTTTGGCTTTTGGACCCTATAGAGGTCATAATTTTTATCCAATTTAAAAAATCGTATTATTATATCACCGTTACACCCTATGGACGACTGAGTTCGAATTTCATGAAAATCGACCCAAAATTGACAGACAAAATGGCCACCATTCGTTCTCAACTAGCGTCAAAAATATGATATATCAAGGTTGTGGACCCTATAGAGGTCACACTTTTTATCCGATTTTGTTGAAACTTGAAATGTAAGTTTAAAACTCAAAGATCTCAGTTCCTTTCAATATTCGCGCATATCGGACCGTAACTTCCTGAATTATGGCCCCTGATTTTACGAAAAATCGCGTTTTTAGCTTGTGGGCCCTATAGAGGTCATAATTTTGATCCGATTTAAAAAATCATATTTTTATATCACCGTTACACCCTAAGGACGACTGAGTTCGAATTTCGTGAAAATCGGTCCAAATTGACAGACAAAATGGCCGCCGTTCGTGCTCAAGTACCGTAAAAATATGGTATATCAAGGTTGTGGACCCTACAGAGGTAACAATTTTTATCCAATTTTGTTAAAACTTGAAATGTAAGTTTATAACCCAAAGATCTCGGTTCCTTTTGATATTCACGCATATCAGACCATAAATTCCTGAATTATGGCCCCTGATTGTACGAAAAATCACGTTTTTAGCTTGTGGACCTTATAGAGGTCGTAATTTTTATCCGATTTAAAAAAACGTATTATTATATCACCGTTACACCCTAAGGACGACTGAGTTTGTATTTCGTGAAAATCGGTCCAAAATTGACAAACAAAATGGCCGCTGTTCGTTCTCAAATAGCGTAAAAATATGGTATATCAAGGTTGTGGACCCTGTAGAGGTCACAATTTTTATCCGATTTTGTTGAAACTTGAAATGTAAGTTTATAACACTAAGATCTCAGTTCCTTTCGATATTCGCGCATATCGAATTGTAATTTCTTGAATTATGGCCCTTGATTGTAGGAAAAATCACTTTCTTGTTAGCTTGTTCTCTATCCATCTTGCGAAAATGTGGGCGTATCCTGCCTGGCAGCCGCTGGTTTGTTTTGAATTAACTTGGTGTGCTATTTTTTTTCAGGGTGAGGCTGTAGATTCTGAACATCTATCAGAGTTAACAGAAGAAGAATATGAAATTAATTTTGTTAAACCACATCTTAAAGGATTCCTTAAATTTGATGCCAAGTATTTAGTACCATTTTTTACCAGAAGATTTACAAAACAGGTACCATTTGAATTCTGTAAGAATTATAATTTGAATGCTGAAATTTAGCCTCTTTTCTTTTAAATTTAGACACGTTTCTGATTAACTTATGTTGTTTCAAATTTCATAATTGGGTTTTGCATATCATTTTGAAATGGTCACCTATTCTCACCAAATAGACCCAATTTAAAAACGCTAATAACAAAAATAAAAATTTAGAAATATTTGTTCTTAATGAGTTTTATGTACGAAGGAATATTTACTGTGTAAAAGTGTGAATTTTTAAAACTGGGTCACATATACCTATTAAGATATGAGTTTTCAAACATTATTCTCAAAATCGTCTGGCGTAAGCTACGTTACTAATAATAGCTAAATATGATCAATATTTTGAAAGATTTCTTCTTAATAATCGCCTTTGTCACTCGTTTATTTCAAGCATCAGATACGTTTCAAACCTCTGAAATATTCTAAGTAATTCTAAAAACATTTTGGTTTATAAATATTTTATTCATAATACAAAAGAGCACAACGTGGAATTTTCATCAATAAATTGAAAACATTATGATATTACACAAATCGTATGCAGTGTAGCGGCATAACAATTTAATATTGTTTTAAACTACCCCTGGATATATTCTTTCAATACTAAATATTATAAAAGACCAATATTCTCTTCAGATTCGTCAGGGAAACTTATACAGATGGTAACGTAAATTTCACCAAAGCGTAACGTATATTACGTAGAGATAAAACGCTCCAAAAATGTGAACAGAAACAAACTACTAATTCATATATTGAATGGACAGACTTATCAAATTAAATTAATACAAATTTAATTGCAAAATGTTGATTTTTAGAGATTTTGATAATGTAACGTAAATTACTAAATTCAATAAAAAATGTAACAACAAACATTATTCGTTTTAACTGAAATTAATCTTTCAATTTTAAGAATTCTTTAGAATTTTTATCATTTAAATGGAAACTTCGACCAGTTTTACCAATTGGAATCGGTTCATCCACAATAAGTAAAATATTAGCAAAGTCAACCCATATTTCGTCAACAGTCGATGGCCACTTGAAAGTTGGTTTGTGGACATCCAGAGCCAAACATCTTCTCATAAACGATATTAAGCAATCGTTTTCTTCAGGGTCCACTTCTTTTATGCTACCCAAGTGGATTTCATTTTTATAAATGACAGCAACCCACATACCAGAGGTAAATGTAAATGTTTTAGATAAAACTGTGGTACTCTGTACAACATGTGGTGTACCCTGTACAACATTCGGTGTACCATGTACAACATTTGGTGTACCCTGTACAACATTTGTGGTACTTTGTACAACATTTGGTGTACTTTGTACAACAGTTGGTGTACCCTGTACAACATTTGGTGTACTTTGTACAACATTTGGTGTACCCTGTACAACATTTGTGGTACTTTGTACCGCACCTTCTACATTTATTTCAGGTGCGTCGTCTTCCTTGATCTTTCGTATAAAACAAGATTCAGAGAAATCGTGAAATTTCCCAGTAATGCATAGTGAACAATAGCAAGAAGTTATTCGAGTGCGTATTTTTCCAACTGTGACGGCACTAATCCAATGAAATGACATAGTGCCTTTGACAGGAATAATACCTTTATTCATTTCAATTATTTCGTTACGGGAGTTTATGCAATCATCTAAAGGTACAAACATATAAAACGCACTGTTGTGGTATTTCTCACCCCAAAGATAAAAGTCCGTGGCATCTTGAATTGTAACCTTTCCTTGTCTGATGGCAAGATCTGCCATTCGCTTAGCGGTTCCGCCAATGCCATCACATGGACCCTTCCCATGCCCAGATTCAAAATAAGTCCAAATGCACGAAAAACCAAAAAGATCTTTGTGTTTTGATATCAAGTAAAATGCAGTCTTATTTCTATATTGGGAACTTGGACTGTCCGTCCAATAATGAATGAATGAGATGTTTGGCAACCATTTTTTTATGTCTGCGATGAGTGACTTTAAAATGGTATAAACCATGCCTATATTGTGGCCAAGGTCATCAGATACGAAAACGTAATTCTTGTGGCATAACGTATCTTCTTTCATGAAGTATACAACAACTGGGTGAAGGGTAACGGCTGTGCTATTCCAATAAGCACTCTGTACTTCGTCATTAGAAGAGCAGGCAAAATTCTCTGCAAAATCCATCTGGACAAGAGCGTGACCATCGGGAAGGTTTTCTTTCAGACTTTTAATTGCAATATACTGTTGTTTAATTCGATCTGTGTGACCGAGGAATTCCGATGTCTGTTCTAAAAATATTTTACCGAACTCTTCTTTTGTTACTTCTTTTTCAACTATTTTGGTTTTCTTTTTACCAGCTATTTCTACCTTTTTCCATTGTTCATATTTTATGTTTTCTGTAGTTATTCCATTAATCAATTCTTGTGGGTTAATCATATTGATTTGTCGAATGAGCTCATCTGGATTTAAGTGAACATTAATGCCAACAGAACGTAAACTTGTCAAACATAAGGCATAGTTCTGATGTTTTTGACAAAGGCATTGGTTTTTTGTTAGGTATTTTGTAAGAGTGATATGTTTAGGCCTTAGTCTACAAAACGTTGCAAATGACAATTTACATGTACTTTCTGCATTAAACTTAAGATGTAGAAATAACATGCTATCATTCAAAATTCTTTTCTGTTGGTAGGTTCCGGTTTGTATCTTGGCTTTATCAGCTTTGCCCGGCATCATCCTGCTGTTATCATCTCTCTCTAAGAAGGCCTGAATATCCTCTTGCAGTTTTTTTCGTATTTCTACTAATTTACTTATTTTAGGAATTGTTTTAATTTCTTTTCCGCGGGATTTCAACCCCTTTCTGCAAAATCCTGTGGTTTTATTTAGTTTTCGTCTCAGTCTATATTTATCAATTAGTTTACCTGAAATTATCTTTCTTATCACCCTTTTCCCTTTAGTCCCATTTACCACTCTTGCTTCTCTTAGTTCTTCGCATAAAACATTTGATAATAGCAGCCTTTCTCTTACTACCCTGGGTAATTTGCCTGGACTTACCCCTTCATTCCTCAATTCTGATTCAAGGCCTTTTCTTGGTGTTAATACTGTTATTGGTTGCTGGATATTATGACTCTTGGAAGTCGTAGTAGAATCCCTTTTAACTTTGTTATTTAATCTTTCATACCTTTTTGATACTCTTTTATACTTTTTCTTGATTCTATCTATTTGTTTTTTTAAGTTTGAAATCTCTCTTCTGTTTTTGGCAGTAGCGCGGCTTATTCGTTTTCTTGTTCGCAATTTTGGATCCGGTAATTTTACGATTAGTCTATTTTCAGATGATATGCTATGATTTGCAGGTGTGCTTGAATCGTATTCAGAAGTAAAATCAGATGTACTTATTTCACTTAAAATACTTTCATCTAATCTTTTCTTCATTCTGTGCTCTCTCACCCATTTTCGTACTTTTTCGCGCCTTTTCTTTAAATCTTTTATTGGGAGTTCGCAAACAGGAACATAATACCCCTTTGTCCTTTGTCGTTCTTTGGCGAAATATATTTCACCTTCTTTTGCCTTCTTTCTTTCTCTGTAGTTTCTTTGGATCTCTGCTCGTGTTTTACCCATCGATAATTAATATTCTGAAAAAATATAAAGAGTATAATCAGATGTTTTGAACGCTGTAATCTACGTTACTGTATAGTAATTTACGTTACGCTTTTAGATAAAATGAAAGTATTTACACCTTAAATAAAACAAATAACTGATCATGTAACACTTAAACATACACCGAATAACGGTCTTACATAGAAATAAAAATTAAATCCAATCACAATAATAATGAAATGTAATTTACGTTACCAATCCCGCTGTGGGCGTCATAATTACATATTATTCACTGTTTTGTTTTCAAAGGTTAGCGTTAAATTTCATGACATATCTATTTAATTTAGAATAAACCATTTGCGAAAAACTTTGGCTGGGCATCAGCTATTGAAGATCAAAAACATTGAAAATTTAAAAACATTGTAAAATAGGCCTACATAGCACAAAAGCTTAAGACCGTCAATTGAAAGCTATCATGTTTGAATTTGATCCTTTAAATTTTATTGGGAAGCATATTATTATATTTTTTAAATAATATTGAAATAAAATAGTTTTTAAAATTAAAAATTGAAATCTCTTACCTTGAAAATTACAAAATTATAGGTTTATATAGATAAGTTCTCCTCGTTGAAAAATAGCTCAGTATAACGTCTAGGACGATTTAACCTTCAAAGCGTTATGGTTGAAAGGGGAGATCACTTTGCGTGAACAAAATGTAATGTAGACGCGAATAACGTCGAATAACGTAAATAGTATGTAACGTAGATTACATCACGTAGATTACCGATTTCGCTTTTGTCACGTTTCCAAGAATATAAATTATAGAGGAATATAAATTTTATATGTAATCTTGACTGTTGGGTAAACGCAACTAATCAAAGTGGTGTTTGTATTCGACACAACACTTGTAACTGTGTTATGATGGTAACGTAGCTTACACTCTTAACACGACGCTTTTAGCCAATCCTTACTAAGTTAGAATGTACGATCATATTATCAATGGGTGTAATGATGACCTAATCGTATGCGAATATAACTTTAATTCTGCTGTTTAACGTTGTTTAAGAATAATCAATGTGTTATTTTGTTAATCCTAGACACTCTTATGTATAGGTAACGTAGATTACCTTTAGTTGCACGACATTAAATAAGTCGTATGTACGATTTTATTATCAACTTCTGTGCACAGGAGACTTACCCGTTACCTAAACAACACTACATGCTGCATAGCTAGTAAAACAAACCTCCGTAATTTCAATATTTTATTTATTTATCAAAGCAATCTGAAAACAATATCAAAAAGCGACAGTCATTTTGGGATTTAATTTACACAAATAGACATTTCTTTTTGTCAGAAAATATATATATGTCTCAGTTTTATTACTTTGAATAACTAGTAAATGTTATTATATTTCAAAATAATACAAAAATTCAATAGAACAAAAACATTTTATTGCTCAGTAACCGTACGACAGTAAATGCAGAGCACGGGGTCTATTACGTGAGAATAGGTGTGAAATGAAAAATTAATTGTTTTAAAGGTCACCGGAAAAGGTTCATTATTTTTTTGAATAATGCAAGTAATTATGTCAACATATCCTTTCCATAAGTATAACCCGAACCTGAATGTCAATATTACCTGCAACAGGTAAATTTCTACATTAGTAATTTCTGCCGTTCTCTGTGGGTAGTCGTAACTTTCCGTCAATAAGCAATCTGCGATGTCATTTTAGTCCTTCTGCACATAGAAATATAGACTAGAATATGAGCAGAAGGACTAAAATGACATCACAGATTGTTTATTTACGGAAAGTTACGACTACCCACGGAGAATGGCGGAAATTACTAATGTTTAAATGTACCTGTTGCAGGTAATATTGACATTCGGGTTCGTGTTATACTTATGGAAAGGATATGTCTACATAATTACTTGCATTATTTAAAAAAATAATGAACTTTTTCCGGTGACCTTTAAATGCCATCATTTTAACAGGGTCGTAGCAAACTGTTAGCTGCCACAGGACAACATCTCTCACAAATACTCCCGATATAAGGTATCAGGTGTTCTGGAAGGAGTAAGCATACACTAGCAATGCCCTATTATTTGGCTCCCTATATTCAGCTTGTTCAATACATACTGTATTCTTATCTGTAGAGACCACTTAATAGTTCCACTTCTTTGTATTTTCAGCAAGTTCGTGATGGTAGAACTCAAATGGATAAATTAACTGATAAATGGTATCAAGATGTACGAGCGGCACCATCAGAATCAGAATCTGAAGAGGAACCTGCAGAATCAGTGGGATTAATGACCACAACAATACAATGATATATGTGTTATTGTATTTTTATCATTCATATATCATTATCTGAGAAATCCTGTTATTATTGAAATTATTACAGACAATGTGAGGTGACATACCATGTGGCTATGTGATTGAGTGTATATTGTGTTTATGACAGATAATCAATTATTGTATAAAGTATTATTAAGAATGTACAGATCATGATATGGTTGTAAAGTATATATTTTTATTGTTATATTGTGATGTATTTAAATTTCAGACTATTTATGGCTGAGTTCGAATTTCGTGAAAATCACCCCAAAACTGACAGACAAAATGGCCGCCGTTCGTTCTCAAATAGCGTAAAAATATGGTATATCAAGGTTGTGGACCAGTGATGGGATTTTGCCCGTATATTCCGGACTTGTCCGAATCTTTTTTCCAAACGCCCAATATTGTCCGACCGGGAATATGCCCAATCGGACATCAAGACATGGTGAATAATATTCAAAATTCCGAAATTAATATAGTTTACTGAGTGTATTACTACCACTCAACCCGATTATCGTCGATAATACGCTGGGTTTATTAGGTAATTAAGTGATCAACGTATTTATCGTGTTATACCATCTATACATGTAGTATAAACCTACCTTGATTTAACTACTTAATCTGCCTTGATTGACTGACTTAATCCTTTGTCGGACAATTCATCAATCTAATCTTAAACAGAAGTCATTGCTTTCCTTTTGTCGGACTATTCATCAATTCAATAAGAATGATTATAAACCTCGTGGTTTCTCATTTGTCGGGCATCTTAATCGCATTGATGTGAGCCGACATCATCTATAATAAACTAATCATAGATGTCACATATCGTAAGAGTAAATAACACCCTAAATCAATGGACAGTCATTTTGTCTATGATATCTTTTACGTCTTTTAAGAATCCATATAGAAATTGTCATCCACAGTGGCACTTTCCCTTGATCTCGAGCGCGGCACGAATATTGCTTTACATATTATTAGGCAGTGCTTACTATGAAGCCATGTGATGAGTCACGTAGGCTATTAGTCTCTATTATCCAGAAAAATATTCTACAAATATGTTGAAGACTAGGAGTTTCTGGGTGACCGAGACTAGTACGCACCCAGCAAAATAACAAAAAGGGGAGGGGCTACCAATAGCTATATGAGCAGAAATTCTTACGTATTTGTAGGCGTCAATCATTCTGCTGTGTTGCCTATGATGCCTGTCACTCTGTCGTGACTATCAAAGAGTGTTATTCGCTGAAGTTAGCTATGCCTGTTTACAAGTGATTTAACTGTTTCGGAAGTTCTGCATTCATTTGCTGCCGTATAAACGAAGACAAGTAATTCTAAAGGAATATTATGGTTGTGAATTTGATGCCGAAGAAGGATCGGCAAGCTTTCATTCAACATATCACGAAAATGCTTAATTTTGTAGGACATTTACTGACATAAATTTGAATGCTGTACGGGAATTAAGTGTGAAAAATAGCGAGGTCACCAATTTTTATTACGTACGGGATTTGAATATTTTGTTGACATGTGGTTTTTAATTGTGATATGAATTGAATACTGTACGGGAATTAAATATGAAAAATAGCGAGGTTCACCTATTTTTAATACGTACGGGATTTGAATATTTTGACATGTGACTTTTAATTGTGGTACGAATTCGTCTGCTTAAATAACGATAAGAGTTATGCCCCTTTATTTTCGGTAAAATGTCCGATAAGTAAAATTTTGAAATCCCATCACTGTTGTGGACCCTATGTAGGTCACAATTTTTATCCGATTTTGTTGAAACTTGAAATGTAAGTTTATAACCCAAAGATCTCAGTTCCTTTCGATATATTTGCGCATATCGGACTGTAACTTCCTGAATTATGGCCCCTGATTGTACGAAAAATCGCGTTTTTAGCTTGTGGACCCTATAGAGGTAATAATTTTTATCCGATTTAAAAAAATGTATTATTACATCACCGTTATACCTTAAGGACGGCTAAGTATGAATTTCGTGAAAATCGGCCGATAACTGACAGACAAAATGGCCGCCCCTCGTTCTCAAATAGCTTAAAAATATGGTATATCAAGGTTGTGGACCCTATAGAGGTCACAATTTTTATCTGCTTTCGTTGAAACTTGAAATGTAAGTTTATAACCCAAAGATTTCCGTTCCTTTTGATATTTGCGCATATCGAATTGTAATTTCCTGAATTATGGCCCTTGATTGTAGAAAAAATCACTTTGTTTTTAGCTTGTTCTCTATCCATCTCTCGAAAATGTGGGCGTATTCTGCCTGGCAGTCGCTGGTTAATTTGATATTATCAGTAGGTGGGTTTTGTATTTGCAAGAGGTTTTATTTTGCTATGGGTGACAAATAATAGAAGGTTGCACTTGTACTATTTAATGGTTTCCATAATTTTTACCCAACTTTAATGGGAACTTTGGTATACAAAACTACGAAAAAGATGAAATCCTCCGATTTAGAGAATGATATTATATTGTTATTTTCCTTGATATCATTTGTATATGCTTTATTATCATATGTATATTATATATTTGTATATAAAGATTTCTGAAATGATATCAAAATAAATGTGATAATTTATATAATATACTCTTCAAAAAAAGTAGGGGATATTGAAATACAAATACCTATGCAGGTTGTGATATGATAAATAGTCATGGACACTTGACATGCTTTGAGAGTATGTTCACACATGAAGAACTTATCGCCCCCAACAGAACCACTGAGCTGCAGGTGGGACATGCAATAGCGCCATACACGTGGGAGGGCTTCATTGCCAAAGGGTTGATGAAAACTGCCGCGTACTGGTTTATCCTATCCATGTTTGCTTTCCTATCGGTTCTTTCATAAGATTTACTGTTTAGCGTATCTTTGCTTTAGTGTGTTACGTTTAATTTGCAATGAGACGTCTTCAACATGATGAACGTCTACGTGCTATTCGTCGATGGGCGCGTGTAATGTTCTCAGATGAGTCCAGTTTTATTCTGGATTTCACCGATAGGCGTGCTCGCGTTTGGAGGAATGTAAATGAGAGTCATGCTAACGTTAACGTCAGACAGCTTGAAAGATTCGGGCATGGGTCTGTTATGGTGTGGGGAGGAATCACCATGACTGGCAGAACGGACTTGCATATTGTTCAAGGAAGGGTCACTGGTTCGTACTACCGTGACCACATCCTGGCACCGATAGTTCTGCCCTTTGCTCAACGTGCAGGTCGACGTTTCATCTTTCAAGATGATAATGCCCGTGCCCACCGCGCTCATGTCATAAATGACTACCTCCAGCGTCACCATATTGTCCATATGCCTTGGCCAGCCATGAGTCCAGACCTTTCCCCTATGGAGCATGTCTGAGACATGATTGGGAAACAACATTGCATGAATTGGCTGTGGCACTGCAAGAGGAGTGGGTCAGATTGCCCCAAATCGTGATTAAACGGTTGATTAGGAGCATGCCATGATGAATTGCTGAATGTCTGAGGATTGGTGGAGCAATTACTCATTATTAAGACAAAAATCAAAATCGTCCATTTTCACTTTTGACAGTGTATCTCTTTGTGAGTGAAATGGGGCGGTCAGATAAGCCACCCATATGAACTGTTTATGTTATGTGTAGGCAATTGGCCTGTTATTAACATACACTGGTTACCTCTAATAAAAACAGCAGTGCATTTCCGCAGTTTCGTATTGTTTCTGAATATCCCCTACATTTTTATATGCCCACTTTTTCATGTGGACGTATATTGTCGTCGCACTGTAACTTCATGGATTATGGCCCTTGATTGTACAAAAAATCAGGTTTTTAGCTTGTGAACACTGTAGAGGTCACAATTTTTATCATATTTGGTTTAAACTTGAAATATATGTTTATAACCCAAAAATCTCAGTTCCTTTCGATATTCGTGCATATCGGACCATAACTTCCTAAATCATGGCCCCTGATTGTACGAAAAATCACGTTTTTAGCTTATGGACCCTATAGTGGTCATAATTTTTATCCGATTTAAAAAACTGTTTTAATATATCACCGTTACACCCTAAGGATTGCTGATTTCGAATTTCGTGAAAATCAGCCCAAAACTGACAGACAAAATGCCCGTCTTCGTTCTCAAATAGCGTAAAAATATGGTATAGAGGTCACAATTTTAATCTTATTTTGATGAAACTTGAAATGTAAGTTTATAACCCAAAGAACTCGGTTCCTTTCGATATTCGCGCATATCCAACCGTAACTTCCTGAATTATGGCCCCTGATTGTACGAAAAATCTCGTTTTTAGCTTGTGGAACCTATAGAGGTCATAATTTTTATCCGATTTGAAAAAACGTATTATTATATCACCGTTACACCCTAAGGATAGTTGAGTTCGAATTGTGTAAATATCGGACCAAAACTGACAGAAAAAATGGCCGCCCCTCGTACTCAAATAGTGTAAAAATATGGTATATCAATGTTGTGGAACCTCTAGAGATAGAGGTCACAATTTTCTTTTGATTTTGATGAAACTTGAAATGTAAGTTAATAACCCAAAGATCTTGGTTCCTTTCGATATTCGGCATATCGGATAGTAACTTCCTGAATTATTGCCCTTGATTGTACGAAAAATCGCATTTTTAGCTTGTGGTCCTTTTAGAAGTCACAATTTTTATTTGATTTAAAAAAATGTGTGAATATATCACCATTACACACTAAGACCATGGATCCTTTTGATAATCGCGGATACTCGAACTTAACTTCCTGGATTATGGCCCCTGATTGTTCGAAAAATGGCATTTTTATTTTGCGGATTCTCAAGAGGTCAAATCGGGAAAATCGAAATGAAACTGGCCAACAAAATGGACGCTCTTTGTACGCAAATTGTGTAAAAGTATGCAATACGAAGGTTGTCGACCCTCTAGAGGTCACAATTTTTGTCTGATTCTGATGAAACTTAAATCATATCTTTATATCCCATAGATCTCAGCCTCCTTTGATATTTGCGCATTTCAGACCATAACTTTCTGGATTATTGCCCCTGATTGTAGAAAAAATCCTGTTTGTTTTTAGCTTGTTCTCTATCCATCTCTTGCAAAATGTGGGCGTATCCTGTCTGGAAGCCGCTGGTTATCCCGATTTTAAAAACTGTTTAGATATATCATCAATCCACCATAATGAAGGTTGAATTGGAATTTCGGGAAAATCCAAATGAAACTGCCTGACAAAATGGCCGCTCCTTGTACTCAGATTGTGTATAAGTATATGTACTACAAAGGTTATGGACCCTCTAAGAGGTCACAATTTTTATCCAATTTTGATGAAGCTTAAAACATATCTTTATATTCCAATAATCTCAGTCCCTTTTGATATTTGCGCATTTCAGACCATAACTTTCTGGATTATGGCCCCTGATTGTACAAAAAATCGTTTTTGGTTTTAGCTTGTTCTCTATCCACCTTTTGCAAAATGTGGGCGTATCCTGCCTGGCAGCCGCTGGCTTTTAACTTGACATCAATCAAGTCAGGTTTATTTTTATAGATTTTAATGTTATCGTATCTACTTCTATTTTTTGGACTTTTGCTTCTATATGAAGCTGAAGATTTCGGCTAGTTTGATGTGAACCTGAAGATTTAGGTTAGTTTAATATAAACTCGAAGATTTAGGCGAGTTCTGTCTGATCCTGGAGATTTAGGTTAGTTTGATATGATCTGGAAGATTTAAGTTAGTTTGAAATTAAACATATGGTTAAAAATATATTTCTTTAGCAGTAGAGATTCATTTGTACATAATTATAGATTGGAAAATATATTTAAGCTATCAGGTAAAAATCTATTTGGTGCCAAAACATTATTTTACAAGAGAACTTTGATGTGAACCTGAACAATCTGTAAATTGAAGGTGGTGAATAGTGGGAGGTGTCTAAAGCACAGTGTTTGACAATCCGGTTAAAATCATGTTTTTCAATTAGTTTATCACCATTTCATTATGCACAACAACTCCAGCATTTGAAAGTGCACAGACGTAATGTCATAAAAAACAATTGGAGGCAGACAACTATCAAATTTCACTGTCTCGGTACCCCGATTTGTAGTTTGTCTATATATTGCTCGCCCTTTTGTCACCTTTTGCATGGCAATTTTTATTGAGTTTATGGTCCAGAATCAGAGAGGAAGGTTTGAATTAATATTTTCTGCAAGGTTTCTGGTAAATATTCATAGTTAAGAAGTGGGAAGATAACCAAAGTACAGAATTAATATTGAAGTCAATGGGGAAATTAATGGTGGTGGGCCTCCATTTTTATACGCTCACATGGAAATGTGGACTTATATTGGCGTCGCCCCCGTCTGTCTGTCCGTCCATCGTCCACAGTTTCTTGTGAACGCTCTAACGCCAAAAGTTATCATCCAAATGTTTTAAAATTGATATTAGTTGTTTACATTAGTGAGATGAAGAAGCCTATTTAATTTCAATAATTTTCGTTTATAACGTCTAGAGTTATGGCCCTTGTTTCACTTTGTCGAAACTTGTGAACACTCTAATGCCAAAAGTTAACATCCGATCTTTGTGAAATTTATATGCAATATTTAAATTAGGGAAACGAAGAAGCCTATCGAATTTCAGTAATTTCCATTTATTACTTCTAGAGTCATGGCCCTTGTTTCACTTTGTTTAACTTTGTGAACGGTCTAACCCCAAAAGTTATCGTCCCATCTTTCTGAAATTTATATGCATTATTTAAATTAGTGAAACGAAGAATCGTATTAAATTTTTGCAATTTCTGTGTATTACGTCTAGAGTTATGGCCCTTGTTTCACCAAAAGTTAACATCCGATCTTTGTGAAATTTATATGCAATATTTAAATTAGGGAAACGAAGAAGCCTATCGAATTTCAACAATTTCCGTTTATTACTTCTAGAGTTTTGGCCCTTGTTTCACTTTGTTTAACCTTGTGAACGCTCTAAGCCCAAAAGTTATCATCCCATCTTTCTGAAATTTATATGTATTATTTAAATTAACGAAACGAAGAATCCTATTAAATTTTTGCAATTTCTGTGTATTACATCTAGAGTTTTGGCCCTTGTTTCACTTTGCTGAACCTTGTGAACGCTTTAATGCCAAAATTTAACATCCGATCTTTGTGAAATTTATATGCAATATTTAAATTAGGGAAATGAAGAAGCCTATCGAATTTCAGCAATTTCCATTTATTACTTCTAGAGTTATGGCCCTTGTTTCACTTTGTTTAACCTTGTGAACGCTCTAACCCCAAAAGTTATCATCCTATCTTTCTGAAATTTATATGCATTATTTAAATTAGTGAAACGAAGAATCCTATTGAATTTCAGCTTTTTCTGTGTATTACGTCTGGAGTTATGGCCCTTATTTTACTTTCTTTATCCGATTTTGTTGAAACTTGAAATGTAAGTTTATACCCAAAGATCTCAGTTCCTTTCGACATTTGCGCATATCGGACCTTAACTTCCGCAATTATGGCCCCTGAATGTACGAAAAATCGTGTTTTAAGCTTGTGGACTCTATAGAGGTCATAATTTTTTGTATCCGATTTAAAAAAAAACGTTTTAATATATCACCGTTATACCCTAACGATG